GAAAGAAAGCAGCAGGTCCAGGTGTATGGTCTCACCAAGCAGGTAAAAGTGGGTTAGCACAACACTACCCAATCACAACCCAATGACAACACTACCCCATCACAACACAATCTTAAAATTACCCTATCCTAAGCTACCTAAACCAAACACCGCCCAATCATAACACTACCTAAAGCTAACTCTACTTAAACCTAACACTACCTAAACCTAACACTCCCTACAACTAACACTCCCTACAACTAACACTCCCTACAACTAACACTCCCTACAACTAACTCGACCTAAACCTTACAGTAACTAGTCCTAATACTACCCAATCTACTGCATACATCTAACAGCATCTTCAAAGATTCACCTCTAACGTTAAAAGAAGTGATATAATTCACAACAGAGGCTACGAGATGACATCAAGTTAACCCACATTTCTGATTGCAACCTGTTATTAAATCAAGTGGGTCAACGTGGGAATCTATAATTAAATGTTTCCGCTTCACTTCCCCCATAGAGCGTGACAAGTTGTCAGCTGAGATACGTGAAGTGTGACGCCGTGACGTGTGATGTGTCATCTTTTAACTTTTTCTGCAACAGATTTACTCGGGTTTTAACGCTTTTGATTCAACAGTCAGAACATTTGAAACTAGTCTGTCGTTCTGTCATGCTAGATCAGAACATTTGAAACTAGTCAGTCGTTCTGTCATGCTAGATCAGAACATTTGAAACTAGTCAGTCGTTCTGTCCTGATTCATTAGAACATTTGAAAATAGTCAGTCGTTCTGTCCTGCTAGATTAGAACATTTGAAACTAGTCAGTCGTTCTGTCTTGCTAGATTAGAGAATAGATTCTGAGACAGAAAGTAGATCACTTACCTGCAGTAGATGAATCAGTTTTATAACAGGAGTTTATATCCATAGCAAATTAAAAAAAATATTTGCGAATAATAATTGTCAAAAATATGTAGAACCATGTGCACGTTTATAGCGAAGAAAAAAACAACCTTAGATCCACACATGGGTTAAAACATGAGTAAATAAATAATAATGTCTTTAAGCTGTAGTATCAGAAGTTCCTTTTTTCTGCAGTATCAAAGAGCAGACAATTCTAATGCAAAATCTGCTGATCTCTAATATATGTACGCCAGAACGGGACAAGTGATACTTTGTAATGATAACAGACGTAAGTAATACATTTTAATGATACATATAACCTAATACTTTTTAACAACAGCTTCACACAAGTAATACAACTTTAAAAAATCCTAATTTAGCCTCGGGAGTAAAGCAACATTTGTGTCCGGTAAGACAGTCTTCAACTAACCCGATATTCAAAGCATTTGACGACACAATCCACGCTACAACTATCTGCCGTAGAAAGCATTTTAACAACAGAAGGGGAGAGAAATGTGTAAATGTTACTCTAAACTCTGGCACCTGCATCAGCTGATCTGACGACTAGGCCCAGAGAACTCACGTTTAGGATCTGGCGCCCTATCTAAACTGCTGATACAAGGCACGCTAACAGTTCGGGTTTTCAATAAAGAACTGAGATCTATCAAAGGGGCGGCACTCGTACTTAGATGCAAGCTTTTCTTTGTAGTTAAGATAAGCAGCCAAATCAGTAGTAAGCGCGTTTAGCAATCTGTTAGTATTGAATTACCGGCCTTGCTTAGGTTAAAGGTTAAATTACAAAACTAGGATACATTTTTAGATAAGATGATTTATTTATGTTACCCGCTGAGGTTAAGTTTCAAAATATTCGCCCGCCAGTTCCCCACGGTAAAGTTGTACAGCTATATTTAAATGTTAGCCTTTTGGACCTGACTGTCAACAGAGCAGGTTAAGAAAGAGCTGAATGGTTTTGTGATCTCGGCCGATACTGGTGTTTTCCGGTGTCAATTTATGCTACGATAATGGAATCTTCTTTAAAAAGGGGTGTTAGATTACAGATAGTGACTAAATACAAATATGAACTGCTAATGCCAACTCTAACACCCTAAACAAAACTCTACCAAAGCTCTAATTTCTGACCATATCACAAATCCTGAGATTGCAATACTAATAACAACATAACCTTTCGGAAGAGTCTATTGTCGGCCATCGATACCAACTACACTCTGACAAATGAAGTGATTGTGTGGTCCGTTCAATGCCCAGTCGCCTTTGGTTCGCCTTTAGTTCGCTAACTATTGGAGTTAGAAAGCGACGAGAGTAGAATGGACTGTTTCTTTCACCTCTATGCAGACATTCCCTTACTCGCTGAAATTCGGACGTTTTATAAACGACGTCCCCGCAACAAATGAATGAAGCTCATAGAAATCCTGAAATTAGGATGTTTTTTAAACGAGGTCCCCGCAACAAATGAATGAAGCTCGTAGAAATCCTGAAATTAGGATCTATCTATATATATAATTCTCTTCTGGGAGACCTTAGAAAACAAGCTGCAAGCGCTCCTTGCAGTCCCCTCTCTTCCTCTATATCGCTACCCCCCCCCCCTCACATGGTCTGGTGAGCTGTGGTCACGCTAAATGTTTACAAACCGTAGAGACGGGTTTAGTGACGGCTATTAGGGGCAGATAATTTAGTTTGAAACGATTTTAAACATAGGGGAGGTAACGAAAAGGAGGCTGCTTTCACGAGGGGGTGGGGCAGGGGTTGGGTGGAAAGGAGGGTTTTAGTGTTTTAAAGCAAATATTTTCAGTGGCAGCATTGGTACTGTCGAATTCACAAATTATGAATTACTGAAAAGTTGAAAAAAAAACTCAATAGCGGCGTATGATACGCCGCGGGTCGGCTTGTGTTTTTTAAACGAGATCCCCGCAACAAACGAATGAAGCTCGTAGAATTCACACAACTCAACCCAAACTTATCCACCACACCAGGATGATTTAGTTATCTCAAAACTGGTTTGTGAGGGGCCACACTTTGAGAGGGGCCACACTTTGTGAGGGGTTACACCTTGTGAGGGGCCACACGTTGTGAGGGACCAAACTTTGTGAGTGGCCGCACTATGTCTGTGAGGTGCCATTCTGTATGAGGAAAAATTACGGGTCTGTCTGGGGCCACAAATTGTTTTTGTGGGGCCATAATAGATCTTTTAAGGACTACAACTGTATTGAGAGGGGCCACACGAGGTCTGTGGGGGGCGACAACTGGTCGGTGTGGGTGCGACAACTGGTCTGTGTGGGGGCGACAACTGGTCTGTGTGGGGGCGACAACTGGTCTGTGTGGGGGCGACAACTGGTCTGTGTGGGGGCGACAACTAGTCTGTGTGGGGGCGACAACTGGGTGAGAGGCCACAACGGGTCTGTAAAGGACCACAGCTTGTTTTTTTAGGGGCCATAATAGATCTAAAACTGTAGTGAGAGGGGGCCACACGAGGTGTGTCAATGGCCGGATCTGGTTGGTGTGTGGGCGACAACTGGTGGGTGTGGGGGCGACAACTGTTGGGTGTGTGGGCAACAACTGTTGGGTGTGGGGGCGACAACTGTTGGGTGTGGGGGCGACAACTGGTCGGTGTGGGGGCGACAACTGTTGGGTGTGGGGGCGACAACTGTTGGGTGTGGGGGCGACAACTGTTGGGTGTGGGGGCGACAACTGTTGGGTGTGGGGGCGACAACTGGTCGGAGTGGGGGCGACAACTGGTCAGTGTGGGGGCGACAACTGGTCGGTGTGGGGGCGACAACTGGTCGGTGTGGGGGCGACAACTGGTCGGTGTGGGGACGACAACTGGTCGGTGTGGGGACGACAACTGGTCGGTGTGGGGGGAACAACTGGTGGGTGTGGGGGCGACAACTGGTCGGTGTGGGGACGACAACTGGTCGGTGTGGGGGCGACAACTGGTCGGTGTGGGGGGAAAAACTGGTGGGTGTGGGGGCGACAACTGGTCGGTGTGGGGGGCGACAACTGGTGGGTGTGGGGGCGACAACTGGTGGGTGTGGGGGGGAACAACTGGTGGGTGTGGGGGCGACAACTGGTCGGTGTGGGGGCGACAACTGGTCGGTGTGGGGGGAACAACTGGTGGGTGTGGGGGCGACAACTGGTCGGTGTGGGGGGCGACAACTGGTGGGTGTGGGGGGTGACAACTGGTCGGTGTGGGGGCGACAACTGGTCGGTGTGAGGGCAACAACTGGTCGGTGTGGGGGCGACAACTGGTCGGTGTGGGGGGAACAACTGGTGGGTGTGGGGGCGACAACTGGTCGGTGTGGGGGGCGACGACTGGTGGGTGTGGGGGCGACGACTGGTGGGTGTGGGGGGAACAACTGGTGGGTGTGGGGGCGACAACTGGTCGGTGTGGGGGGAACAACTGGTGGGTGTGGGGGCGACAACTGGTAGGTGTGGGGGGCGACAACTGGTGGGTGTGGGGGGTGACAACTGGTCGGTGTGGGGGCGACAACTGGTCAGTGTGGGGGCGACAACTGGTCAGTGTGGGGCGACAACTGGTGGGTGTGGGGGGGAACAACTGGTGGGTGTGGGGGCGACAACTGGTCGGTGTGGGGGTGACAACTGGTCAGTGTGGGGCGACAACTGGTGGGTGTGGGGGGGAACAACTGGTGGGTGTGGGGGCGACAACTGGTCGGTGTGGGGGTGACAACTGGTCTATCAAGGGTCACACACTGGGAACCGCCGGCCCAGCCTTTGCATTATTAAATACAAAACGGGTAAAGGATCTGCTCTATACGATAGTACACGCCTGCTTCATAAAACATGGGTAACGGATCTGCTTTAGTCCTATACGATGGTAGAGCCTACTTTCAACAGCTATGTCGATGTGCTATGTTGAGAGAGGGTGCGAGCCTCCTATGTAAGGAGTTGGGTGATTACAATAGGGACGAAGAATACATTTTGCAATTTTTTAAAAGCTGGGCATACAAAAATTAATATTGTTGCGTAAAACTGAACACTTTTTAAAATCAAATAAATAATAACATGTTATTACATTGTTTAGATAGATTCTTATAAGGTAGAATTTGACAACAAAACGGATGAATCTATACCAGAACTTACCACTGAGGTGTCCTTGCTTCAGTATCCACTGTTTAAAACCCGTGAAATCACTTGGTGAACTGAACTGTGCACTGTCACAGAATAAATCCCACGATGGAATAACTCGTCACACAATGATTGTTGTCAAACTCTGTTCAAGGGCGCACAACTCCTCCAATGGGACACAACTCGCCCAGCCAAACTCCACAAAGTTCAGGCCTATAGATAGGTGTACGTGTTCACGGTTCAGTGGCGACTAGATGTGTCAGCAGTACACACGTAAACCCTCTGGCTCATGTTAATCAGGTATGTGACAATGTGTATTAGCAGATGAACTATAGCTGGAGACGACAGTTCTAGTGTCGGTTACGTAAATGGATGACAAAACTTCACGGGTCGTCGCCTGTGGATGCCTCGGATATGATTTACGAGCTTTCTACTGTTAGCAGCCAGAATTTTGTTCACTATTTAAAAGACAATTTACAAACGCTTCTTGCAAACTGAAAAAAAAATTACTGTATATCGATGATGACTATTACTTAACAAGATGTCCTATCAGAAAAAAACTACGTTACTGTAATTTGAATATCTGCAAAATTTAGACTGGAAATTAAAATAATAAATTAATTTAAAAAAATATTTATGATGACTATACGTACAAGAAATGTCTATTCCCTGCAGCGCACACGAAGCTAGTTATGACCAAAAACCATGTCTCGCATTCACCCAGGTAAGTGCACAATGCTGGTAGCCCGGTTCTCTCCCCTTGTCCGATTTCACTTGCTATAAAAATTAACAAAGAACCAGCGCTGGGGTAACCTCTGTTGCACACATTTTAAAAAAAAGACTTTAAGAAAAAGGGTTTTAAAATAGCGTTAAGACTGGTGTAAAAAATATTTAAGGCTTAGCAAAGCAAAGGGGAACGCAATTGGTGCCTTAAAATCACATCTTTCAATGGCTCGGTATAAAGGGTTGTACTATTTCTTACCCTCGTTATGGGCATACAGTTACCGACGTTCGGTTACGACAATCTTCTGTCAGTTTTAGCTTGATGAACGTCGGGTCACACATCGTTGTGTGGGTTGTGTCAGACATCACAGGCCAAGTGTGTGGGTTGTGTCAAATATATGCTAATTGTGTGGGTCGAGTAATGCATCATAGGCTGTGTGGGTCGTGTCAAATATACAGTGTTTGGGTTATGTCAGACATCACAGGCTAAGTGTGTGGGTTGTGTCAAATATGTGCTAATGGTGTGGGTCGTGTCAAATATAGGTTGTGTGTGGGTCGTGTCAGACATGTGCTGAGTGAGGGAAGTGTGTAGGTCCTTTAGTGGATCAGACCAACGACTTCAACTAATTTAGCCAAACAAGACATGACTTAGGACTCATATTTACTCATCTACCAACATCTTTCTACACTGCCCCACTATACACCAACCCCTCCCCGGCAATAGATTGAAATACCATGCAGATACAAACTGGAGAGAAACAAATCTATAGCACATTGTTCGGAAAGTGGAAATCGTTGTAGTCTGCAAACAATCCTTCTGTACTATGTATTTCCAGCGGTAAAACACCCCCCCCCCCCCCTCCAGAATGCTCAGGACCTCCTTTAAAGGAATGTGAGCAGCGCCAAACATTGAATAAAGAATAGGAAACCTTAAAATATGAATAAATCTATTATTTCATCAGACTTTAAGCGTGGCTCACTTTCTGTTTCAACAGAAGAAATTCGTGAACTGGCTCTTTACTAAAACAGTGTCTCGGTTTACTATACCCAAGTTACTCTATATATTTTTTTTCATTGGAGTAAATACTAAGATGAGTTAGTTCCCTTGCTCATATATTTAAAAGGGAAATAGTTTGACTTTTTAAACTACTAGTCTTGACATTATGTATCAAGCTAATTAAGATTAATTTAGCTTAGTATATTAAGCTAATAAAGATTGATTTAGCACTATACATCAAATGAATAAAGATTGATTTAGTATTATACATCTAGCTAAAGAAGATTGATTTAAGAAGTGCTACTAAGACAAGAAGTATGTACATCAGTTTATTTGACATCAACAATAATATTGTTCAAAATATTGCACCTCATTTGTTAACACACAGCAGCACAGTCATTAAGTCATAGAGCAGAGCATGCACAGTGACTGAAGGCCACACCTCTCTTGAGAGCAAGGTTTCGATACAATTCAAAGTTTAATTTAGTTTAATAGTTTACACAATGCATATCATTAAATAAACCAGTTAATATCAAGTAACACCAACAAGACAATCACACTAGAGATAGGTTTTATTTCATCTTGGAACTGGTTGCGGACATGATTTTCTGTTTGTAGGAGGCAACTAATTTGTCAAAACTGTCAAAGTCTTTTCTCTTTTTGTTGGGCTTCTGAAAAAAAAGTAATTCATGCTTCAACTTTTAATTGTACAACTAAAATATTAATTATAATTAAGACTGTACTAACTTGAACTTTATCAATCAATGTGGACCAACCCACCTGTATTTGTTTTGGCTTTTGTTTCACTGCCTTCTGTGAAAACTTTTGGGGTTGTTTGTTAAAGTTTTTCTTTAATTTTTTCTTCTCAAATTTTTCCTGGCCTGGCCTTTTCTTGTGCCTCATTTTGGGACCGGAATGGGAGGGGAGACCAAGGGGGCCCTGAAAGAAAGATGGAAGCATTACTCTTGTTGTAATCAGGGGCCCTAAAAGACAGAATCAGGGGCCCTAAAAGAGAGATGGCAACATTACTCTTGTTGTAATCAGGGGCCCTGGAGAGATGGCAACATTACTCTTGTTGTAGTCAGGGGCCCTAGAAGACAGAATCAGGGGCCCTAAAAGAGAGATGGCAACATTACTCTTGTTGTAATCAGGGGCCCTGGAGAGATGGCAACATTACTCTTGTTGTAATCAGGGGCCCTAGAAGACAGAATCAGGGGCCCTAAAAGAGAGATGGCAACATTACTCTTGTTGTAATCAGGGGCCCTAGAAGACAGAATCAGGGGCCCTAAAAGAGAGATGGCAACATTACTCTTGTTGTAATCAGGGGCCCTAGAAGACAGAATCAGGGGCCCTAAAAGAGAGATGGCAACATTACTCTTGTTGTAATCAGGGGCCCTGGAGAGATGGCAACATTACTCTTGTTGTAATCAGGGGCCCTAGAAGACAGAATCAGGGGCCCTAAAAGAGAGATAGCAACATTACTCTTGTTGTAATCAGGGGGGTCTTGTGGAAAGATATTAACATTATTTAGCAGTCTTGTAAGAAGATATTTTTTTGAGGCCCCTGCAGAAAGGTGATATTGTTTCCAGTTCTGCATGAAGATGTAAAGATATTGACATGATTTGGGGTTGCTGCAGCAAAGATAATATTCTAGATCATGAATCATATTGAAAAGTTATTTGAAAACAAAGTAGAGCATTCATTTTATAGCCTGCCATACAATAATATTTTAACAATAGTTTAAAAATTAAGGATAAAAAAATTGAACTGTTCTCTCTGAAAAACCCAAGTGTTAAAGAAGTTACCTGATGAAGAGATCTGGCAACTTTGTCTTGAGCCTTCAATACATCCAGTGGCGGTGCTGTTTTCCATGGCTTTGGTTTCCTTTTTCGCTTCTTCTTCTCAGCTTCCTTGCTGGCGGAGTTTGCAGCTTTCATCTCTAAAGCCTTCTGCTGACATTTGAACTGAAACAACAGGAACAGATCACAGGGTGGTCTGATATTGATTGGCTAGATGCTTCTATCTGCTGCTCTATTACATCTACCAAAGTTGGTTACAACAAAAGTTTATCTCTTTAGTGAACAGAATCTTTTAACCAAATATCATTGATTTTTAAATATAAGGAGAAAACTGTTTTGCTTACATTTGATTTTTCTATACGTTTTTGTTTTATCTCCAGAGCTTTACGATTCTCTAGAGAAAACTCAACAATAGGTCTCTGGAAATGTAAGAACATTTCTGGTTAATTGATGGCATCCTAAGTGTATTGGCACTGTTGAAATAAGCAATGCTATGCTGGTTGTAACAATTTTTAATACAAATTCTATAATTTTCTTATATTCCAACTGACTTAACTCTAACATGAAAAAAATTATTTGATAATATTCAAAGATCAATATATAACGCAAAACAAGAAAAATACACTATATCAAGCTTTTTATAAAAATTAAATACAAATTTCATTCCCTTTACTCCAAGACCAGTAAATTTTTTATCATGAAATAAAGTTTTATAGTTAAACTAAAATGGGTGCACTATAAGTAAAATACCAACACTTGATTGTACACTGCTCACCTTTTTGTCTCCAAATATTTTAGGATTGTTGTTGAGGTTTCTGAGGGCTTTCAGTGCATGCTCGTGTTGTGTGAATGAACAAAAGGCAAAACCTCTAGACTTGCCAACACCCTGACTGTTCAGACGGCTCAGGTCCCTCATAATTCTACACTAAAACCAGACAAGCATATGTAAGATTCTCATAATTCTACACTAAAATCACACAACCAAATGTGAGATTCTCAATTCTACACTTAAATCACACAAGCAAATGTAAGATTCTCATAAATCTACACTTAAATCACACAAGGAAATATAAGATTTTCGTAATTCTACACTTAAATCACACAAGCAAATGTAACAATAACATTTTCATAATTCAACATAAAATCCCACCATTAAATGATAGTTTAGTTAAAAATTTTACAATACAATTAATTAGGTTTGGTACTAAAATTATGTAAGTTGAAAAAAAATACATAAACAAACTATAAACATTTAACAAAAACACATGAAATAAGATATTGATATGGGATGTAGAATATCTTAGAGCACATTCTTCTACAGAGTTTATGGCTGTTAATGGTGGGTGCCAGACATTTATCCAAGACACCTGCCTGAACACTGTTACCCAAATTGGACAATATTTTCTGACTGTGACAATTTCCAAAAATCACATACCTAAATGACTGGTGAAGGATGTAGGTAAAACAGATATGGCTGCTAAACTTGGGATTCAAATGTCTAGTTTTAACGGACAGAAGAAAATAAACCTGAGTTTGGCACTCACCTCTGTGATGTCTAGTTTTGTATAACTGAACCAGTCAAAACAAAATAAACCTGAGTTTGGCGCTCACCTCTGTGATTTTAGCTGCCTTGTCTTGTGCTGCCTGGTAGACAACTTTCCTAAGGGCCTGGTCTGTGACTGTGGAGGGTAGGTTGTGTACACACAGACGGGTGGAGGAGACAAAAATATTCTGATCTTTCAGCTTAGTTCTATTGGCTGCAATTATCTGTAGATAAAGTACACAGTAAAGTTTTTTGATTAAAGCAATATTATATCACCTAGTATCTTCCTTAAATAGTCTAAAATGTGTTTACTCATGTTTATATGAAAAAAGTAACCTTTGCCCTCTTGATGAGATCAGCTACTGGCACATCCTTGGCTGCCTCTGTACCTTCACGGATCACTGGAAAAAGAAAAGTTATTATTATTATTGATAATTAAATGTATAAACAGAAACTGTAAGAAGGAACTTATGAAAACACTGCCTTACTTCCTTCTCTAGCCAAGTACAAGTTCCTGGAATCCTTCTTCTCTTTTTCCTTCTCTTTGTTTTGTATAAGGTCTCCAGCCTGTTGGCGACTAACTGCCATCGTTACCACTATCTGTCTGCCACCCAGTGATAGACCAGTATCCTGAAAAGACAAGACAACAATAAGTTACTGCACTTGGAAATGTAACAGAAAAAAATACGGCCAACATTTTTTCACGTAACAATTTAGTAAATACTAAACAAACTTTACCTGATCTGAAGCAGCTTTTAAACATGAATCTGCACTGTCTTTGGACTGGAACTGAACAAAAGCAGAACCTAAAAGATATAAAACTTGTCTGTAACTTTAAACACTATTATGTTTTATAAAACATGACAAGCTAAAAGCTATTAACCTCTAGAAATTCCTGTAGCTTGGTCAAAGTCAATCCTGCAAAAATTGACTACACCAAAATATTTATAGAAAACACATGACAAGCCAAAAGCCTTTAACTAACCTCTAGAAATTCCTGTAGCATGGTCAAAGACAATCCTGCCATAATTGACTACACCAAACTGTGAGAAAAACTCCTCTAAGTCTTCATCCACTGTGCTGAATGGCAAGTTCCTGTTAGATTCAAAACATCAACAAAGTGATTCATGCTGTTATTTTTTAGCCAACTTCAATCGGCTAGAGTCTAAAGATAGTTATTTGTTTAAAGCTTATTGTTAGAAAACAGTTAACCAAAATCACAATCTAATGGTTTTTCAACAGGAAAAAGATATCTAACAAAAGCCAGCAATCAGTAAATACCTGATGAAAACAGTTCGACCCTCATTAACATCACTCGGCCTATCTGTTGAGAAGAAAATTTATTAAACTTCAATTGCCAGGCTACCATTATTTCAATAACAATTGTGACCCAAGAAAAATTTGTTGAATAATTTTATGGATAAAGATTTAATCATAATAAATAATAAAGAAATATAAGTAGACAGAGAGAGAAAAAAAGATAATGTGAATCACATCAGCCTTACCTATTTTCTTTGATTTTTTGTCTGACTCATTTTCAATACCACTGTCTTCATCTTCTGAATCTTCATCACTTTCCTCATCTGCGCTGTTGTCACTAGCCTTCTCTTCACCACTGGAATCATCACTTTCATCTTCTTCACTACTCTCATCTCTTGAAACTATCTTTTTATTCTTAGAATCTACAGATGTATTCTTTGTATTGATTTTAGTGCCATCATTATGAATGTTTTTACTTTTAGAATCTACAACTGTTTTTTTAGTATCAACTGTACTGCCAGCAATATTTTTTTTATCCTTGGAATTCACAGCTTTTTTCTTACTGTCAGTCTCGTTTTCTTTCTTTATGTCAGTTTCCTCTTTCACTTCAATCTCCATGTCTTCTTCTTCATCATCACTATCATCATCTTCTTCACTGTCTTCATCATCATCAAGTTTGGCTTCAGAAGACTTCTTTGTATTAGCTTTTAATAAATATTTTAAAAAAATATTTTAAATTATAAAAAAAATATTAAAATAAATGGTTACAACATCATTTAAAGAAGATAAAGCATTTCTGTCTCAAGCAGCACAAAATAAAATCTGTCATTTCTCTCACCTCTCTGAGTTTCAAACTTGTCTTTTGGCAGCGTCCAATCTATAGCCACCACTCGACCTTGTGTGAAAAAAAAACATATTCTTTTTATGTAAAATTATCAATTTTTAAATATACTTCTACTGTTTAAGTTAATCCATATATTAACAATGAACTGTTACTTTAAAAAAAAAATTAAATTTTGTAATAAAGAGTTGTTGAATTGTATCTAATTTGTTAAGGGGGTTCACATAAAATTAACTCCTCACCACAAATAGCCTTTCCATTCAATTCTTTTACTGCCATTCCTGCCTGAGTTTTATTAGCAAACTGGACAAAACCAAAACCCAACTTCTGACCATTAGCTGAAAAAACAATACAACAATATCTATAGCTGCATTTTAATGGCTGTTGTCGAAATAATGTTTGAAAAATAATTTATTCTACAAAAGTTGAAAATGAAACTGTGAATGGTTACCTTTCTTTGGGATATGAACATCATTTACAGTACCACATTTTTCAAAAGCACTCTTTAAATCTTCTGGAGTGCACTGTGAGTTAGAGGAAGACAGATATTAGAAAGTAATAGTTAAAACTACAACCCATTTACACTTGTCTTAAAACTAACATATAAACCACATCCTAAATTGATAGGTTTAAAAAAAAATGTTTTTATATCCATTTATATTACTTTAATACCCCAACCTTAAATGATAAATTCCTGATAATACTGTTATTAATGGATTTACATTATATTAACATTAAAAAAACCCAAACCTTAAATGATAAATTCCTAACAATAAGTCTGGCCCTTTTGCCTTCATTCAATGGATTTGGAGCTTGCTTAACACCTTTGACAGGAACTTCTGTTTTGGTTTTCTTGACTTTTTTAGTTTTTGTAACAGCTGGTTGTTTCTCTGGTGTCTGCTCCTGTGTAGCTTCTGTTTCTTTTTCACTGTCTGCTGTAACTGGGCGCCCAAATTTCTTTTCTGGGTTACCACAATGAACAAAGGTAAACTTTAAACAGATATTTCTTGATTAAAATGGAAAAATTTTAAAAATCTAATATCAAAAGAAAGGTTATAATATTAATTAGTAGACGGTTTTAATAATAGTATCTAGATCTAAAGTATTAATTATAACATATGACTTCTTACTCTTTTCCTTTTTGTTTGCATAGATTATTTGCACATTTCTGCCATCCACTTTTTTTATCGTCTGCAGAGCCTTTTCTGCATCTTCACTGTGGAAGCAGATAAAAAAAGTCTGATTCAGATACATAATTAAATATACACTTTAGAGCCCCATCATCAAACAGCAATTTTTTTTTTACAGAATCACAATCACAACAAAGTCCCAGTTAATTCAAGTTTGTCAATTTAAAAAACTTCTATTCAGTCCTTAATGTACAATAAGAAAACTCCATTTCATTACTAAAATGGTATGGGGTAACAGAAAGAAATAAGTAAAGCCTTACTTAATAATTTAATTACATTCTAAACAACAAGTAACTATGTGTGTTATCAATATCTCAATAAATAAATAAAATAAATAAACAAATATATGGTCACTTACAGAAGTGTAAACTTGACATAGCCAAAGCCTCTGCATTTTCCAGAGTCTAAAAAAATAATATAAAAACAATTAAATACTAAATTTTAAGCTGACTAAACTAGAAAAATAAATTCAAAATATGATATTATACAGAATGCTTCAAATCTAGTTTGTATATGCCAGCATTTTGAACCTGCTTATATGATCTCTGTATTATTTATGTAAAGGGATTCTGTCTATTCTATGCCAAGCTGCCTTTACTAATAATTTCCCAAATACCAGAGCTGGGAGGGCTCAGGAATGCCCTGTGGACGCTAGTCTGGATCTAAACTCTAGTCTTGTGGGTTAGTAGTCTTGCACACACAACTATGCCACGCTTTATGAAAGTATTTACCTAGTTAATTTAAATTATTGATTTATTGTGATTAAGACTACATGACAAAAATCCTTTTAGTAATATTGCTAATTCAGGCACTTACTTTGAGCAAAGAACCTTCATGTGCATTATAGCTCAGTGATATTACATTAGATGACACAAGTAAATTAGTAATATAATACTTTCAGATTATTTAATACCTGATGAGTTCTTAGAAAAAAGTGTGACCATGAGATAGTAGGCTCATGTTGTGATGTTAAGTTAAAACAATGTTTACTATTTTATATAAGCCTAATCTTCTTCTTCGTTCTTAATTTGTAGTGTTGGAAGGGATCGAGCCTTATCTGCCAGAGGGTTGAACTCGAGTCTATTTCGAATTTATCAACCATGAGCTTTTGCCGACTCGACCACGCCTCCATCACAATTTAGAATACATGTCAACTGGTTATGCGCTATTGAGGCCATTGACTCCGATTTCAGCCTGCTTTTCTTTTTGGATTTGCTTCCGTAGCCTTTGTTTAACCAAGAACAAACTACAAGGCAGCAGTTGTTTGATTTTGGAGTTGTCTCTCCTGGAAGAGTGGCTGTCCCCAGCTAACGAGCCTCATCTGGCAGAGGGTTCAAACTTGAGACTTTTTGGTTTAGCAACCATGAGCTTTACCGACTCGACCATGCCGACCCCCTTATAGGCCTAATGAAAATCTATTGCTGAATCAAATGCATTTTAGTTAGGGGTGTAGATCTATTATTTAATAAAATTTAAGCCTGAGGCCTAAGTCACTATTTACCCGTGATTCCGCAGGTAGGCCCCTGTCTCACATTTTTTCTCGCAATTTAACGCCTAGCCATTGGCATTTCGCAATTTACCAACACTGGCAACACTCCAAGCCTAACTGGTCGGCCAGTTGGGGGTAATATGAGAGACAGCATTGTCACGTAACAGGCCATTTTCGCACCTTTTCTGCCTCGCCATTTCGTGTTTTACCAAGATCGCCCAGAGTATGCCAAGCAGGTGTACTCACAAAATTTATCACGAGATAACTACTAGATCTAACTACTGGCTAGAATTAAGAAGTTAGGAAGACTAGATCTAAGAGTATTCTAAGAGTCTACGGACTAGAATCCTAGATCTAGATCTACAGCTACGTTCGTTAAGAATGCCAATCGATCTCGAATCTGAATCTAGATCTAGATCTAGAGAGTAGCGAGGCTCACTAACTTTAAAGCGTCCTTGGTTGCTAACCAGAACATGGCTACCTCACCTGGGCCTACGATTGGGCAATTTTTACTGCTTTGTTCGAGAGACCACCTTAACATTAAGTTTAAAAATAATTATCACGCGAAAAATGGCGTTTTTTTCGCGTATTTTAAGCTATCTGAAGATGACAAAGCTATTTTTGGCAGATTTTTTTTTTTTAAATTTGCTTCCGACCATGGAGGTCAAGCGGAAACATGGGTATAGTTTGAGTTGTTTAAAAACTTTAAATAAAGGACTGTTACGTGTCTAAATGGCACTGTAAGGTAGAGTATTATTAGATTGATCGTTTAGTGAAAAAATATTGTAATTATTTTGAATCCATTTTAAGAAATCGGCAGCCAAAAAAGGTCACTGAAAGCACGTAATTTTTTATTGTGACGTCATCGCTATTGTTACGGAAGCTGTACAGTAGTATCCTCTCGCTGCTTATATATTATATAATTGTATTCTTTTCACTTGACACTCTTTTTCAGCTTATTTTGCTAGCGTAATTAGACTAATTAAGCCTAATTATGGATATTTCACCTGGCTTTTGGATTATACTAAGACTCTAAAAGCCCTTAGCCTTAAACCACAACGATCTGTTTTTTTTTTTTTTTAAATTTTGTGTTGATCCCTGGAATTTGTAGTGAGCGTTGGTCTTTGTGTGCTTATTTAGGCCTAATTATTTGTTTTCAAATTTGTTATAGCTTAATTAATTTGTCTTAATTCTTATTGATTTCATAAATTTTAATTAGGTTAATTATAATATTATTTTCACTGGTCTTCGTTGATACATTTATTAGGCTTAGTAATGTTTATATTATATAAATATATTTATCAGGGGCGTAGCGAGGGGGCGGGGGTGCGGACCGCACCGGGTGACACCATTTAGGGGTGGGGGGGTGACACCAAGGCAAAAAATAGCAAAATAAATATACAGAGAAAAACTTGAGGGGGGATGCAAATCGAAAGTTTGAGGGGGGGGGTGCTAATCGAAAATTTGTCCCCGGGAAGGGTCGCTACGCCTCTGGGGGGGTGACACCATTAAGTGCCGCACCGGGTGACACCCGACCTCGCTACGCCACTGATATTTATATATTTTATTATATATTATTAAGATTTTAGAGGCCTGATAAATTAAATGATTTTAGCGTTGAGTCTAGGTTTACATTACTAATTAGTACTTAGTAAACCAAGTACGCATGGACTAGGACATGTGTGTGCAGTGCCGGCGGCGTTGTGGCGGGCGATGCCTCTCGCGCTGACAAACCAGCGCGAGCGAGCGAGTCGTGTGTCACACTTGGCCTGTGTCGATGTTTGGAATGCATAGGCATAGGCCTAATTCTTGCTCTCGGGTGATTAATTTTTTATGCGCTGACATTTGAAAAATCAAATAGACACACATCTTAATTAAATACATTTAATTTGAACTTTATATTAATCTAGACCTATAATACTAATTAGGGCCTATAACTTGGGATAACAAAGTACTTGGACTAGATTTAGCGCATGCGCACACTGTGCTGTGAATTTTCTCTCGCTGGTTGACAAAAGAACGCAGGCGGGCTAGCGATGTTTGTAATTTGCATATATCTTCGCTCACAGGCGATCATTTTAATGCGATTGGCCTCTTTTTATTTTATAGGCCTAATTAATTGTATTTGATAGGCTAACTTTTCTGGTTGACAAAACTAAGGGAGCGAGATGTCTGTCACGCGCACTGCCCGTGACGCTGTTTAGAATGTATTTCTCGCTAACTTGATGAATTTGAATGCTATTGCAGTGTTTTTTAAAATAAATCAAATACTTACAAATCTTTACATTTTAAACTGAGCATAGACAAAACTTTGTAAATAACACACCTGTCCCAAGTGAAGTGAGAGAAGGGGTTAGATTAATTTTACAATGACATCGCTATATTTTATGAATTGCCCTAATTAAGCATTGCTAAAACACTTACACTAGTTAATAAAACATGCATGGCATGGGATTGAATATCTTTAAAAAGATTAGATCTATACTATATATTCTTGAACATGTTGTTCATTAATTTGAATTTAGTTTTCCTTTTTAAACACCCTTCCATTTAAAAAAAATTAAACAAAAATATTTAAAAATTCTAGATCTAGATCTAATTCCATTATGTGATTTTTTATTCTGACGAAGACAGTGTCCATACGAATAGAAATGTGGTAATAAAATCAAATGTACTGTGCATATTCTGCTAAAATCAAATCAGCTGCAAGGTCAACCCTGCAGAGTTCGTCTCTTCAGAAAAGTAATGGCGATCTGGTTGTCACGGATTATTTGGCTTGCAATGCTTGGAGTGGCCAATTAATAAAAATCAGGGATGATATTTCGAGTCGTCCCTTTGAATCCCGGTCAGAACGTCCCCCCGTCGTGGCCTCAACCAACCGGCGGGCTTGTTGCATTGAGTTAAATATAAACTCAAAACAATAATATAAACAATCTCCTTTCAGCAGGTCAGGCCACATACCAGGCACGCACAGTGTTGTGTGTCGTGCCTTAACCAAAATAAACTATCTCCCTTCATTATCATTAGACTTAATTAATTAGTTAATTAATTAATTTATTTGCTAATTTCTAAAATTATGTATGATGCTATAGCAGTAGGTAAGTTACGGTAAGTATAATTTTTTAAACTATGTATTTGTACTATAAAGAAACAGCTTCGTTGTTTCAATACCACCCTCTCCCCTTCTTGAACTCAAAGTTAAACTTTTAACCCCGTTCGTAGAGACATGCGGTATGTTGTAAGGCGGCGGGTGGGTAGGGTATATACTCATTGAAGAAAAAATCCACCGTGTTTCGTGTTATTGGCCTTGGGCCTTCTGTGACGTTGTTGGCGTTTGCTGTGAGGGGGAGAGGGGTGTGTGTTATATCCGTTTAAAAAAATCGCAACAAGGTAATGGCCTATGATGACGTCGGCGCAAGCGGGGAGGGGGGGGGGGAGAGACACTTTTTTTTTTAAAACCAAGAACTAGGCGTTTAAAGGCTGTAATGAAAATCAAGGACTGGTATATCCATGATGTCGATTTTAACGAGTGATGCTTGCTGGGTCTATCATACGATTGCTTGGCGATGGGAATCTCGTCGAGCGCAGTTTATATTTACAGTGAACTATTGGGATGCTGTCATGCACAAAGTAACAGCTACCAAATGTAGCACTTAAAACATCGAGTGCATCCCGCTCATTATAAATTTGAAATACAAGTTATGGATTGTGCAAAAAACTTGATGGACTGTCAGAATATATGCATTGTAATTGTATTATAACATTAATCATTACGATATAACTAAAATGTGTATCCAAATATTTTTAGGCTAACGGGATCTGCATTTAAATAAACAAGACCTATTAGGCTACTTTTGCATGGTAGCACAACTACATTTTTAGATTTCATAATGAGTAGCCTAGTCGTAAAGGGCTGTACTCAATAACAATGGAAAAGAATGAAATGCCGGCTTCAAACTTCAAGCTATGATTTCCCCGTATTCTTCTACTAGAAATATAGCTCCGTTGTTCTAATGACCTCACCCTCCTCCTCTCACCTAGTTCAATTTAAAGTTACACTTTCAACCCCGTTAGGATGCGTGAACTGGTGAACCGCGTGAACTACTGATGACCTAACTATTGAAAAAAAAAACTATTCTGGTGTTCAATTGCCCTCCCCTACTCGCAGCACTTTGGGGCCATACACATCAGGAAGGTCTAGGTCGGTGTTGTATCTCGTGCAAATTTACTCACAACACGACTACACACTATGCTTGTATCCAGGACTAAAGCTGCGACACTCGCATAGAGTTGGATTTATTCGTTAGATCATTGTGCTTCAAATTCTGTTTCAATATTGGATTAGATGGATATAATGTTGGAATTCAGTTAGTTTGTTATATTATATTTATCTAAATGTCGTGTACCATCAGAAACTAAATTGGTTGACAAGACACATGTGTAGGCTAAAGAATGACCTCTAGATCGAGCCAAAGATGGCTCGTTAAGGTTGACAAACAGTGGTTTTCAAATTTTATGGTGATACTTTTCTAAAGGATTTTATTTTGTGCTTTTTTTGGGATTATTTTGTGTGATGTGATTATTCAGAAGTAATTTGTAAGTAGAATCTTTTCACATCCAACCATTTTAACAGTTTGCGATTGATCTGCGGCTGGGCTGATTAATTTACATTTAGCGAAACTACACACTACACGGCGCCCTCAGGCCGTTGTTTCAGCATGCCCTACTAGTCAATTATAGACAACTTTAGAATCAATACATAGAGCCAACACACCGATTTAATAATCTTCAAGAGCCATTCCTCTAGGGTCGTTATTTTCACGAAATTGTCGTTTTCCATTTTGTTGTCAAGAAACTGGTATTTAGTTCACGAGAACGTATGAAAACCACTCATGCGTGACCGAAATCGTCGATTGGGTGCCTTCACGTGGTTTGACACGTGTTGACCTAGGCCATTGTTTACATCCAAAAATCACCCAAAACGGCCTTTTTTCGAAAAATTTGTTTGAAAAAATGGCTAAGTCCAGTTTTAAAAAGTGTCATTTTCGGGCCCATTTTAAAAAACCTAAAAAAATCCGAACTACACGTAGAAAAAATGGCTTTTTCGGCCCTTTTTAGCTCCAAAAACGCGTCGCGTGACGTCACCGTGACGTCAGCCGCCAACCAAAACGCGGAGAAAGCGCGCGTTTGATTGGTTGGCGGCTGACACTATGAAATCCGCTAAGGACGATTCGAATGGTATACCAAAATCAGTAATTAAGCTCCAAATGAGTTTATTTTCAACAAATTAAGTATTTGATTGATTAGAGATTGATATCTAGTTTCCATTGGTAATGTTTAAATCGAAAAATAACGAAATTTAAAATTAGTGAGTATCTCTACTAGAGAGTCTACTCTAGATCTAGAAAAAAAATCTAGATCTAGTCTAGAATTAGGCATTCCGACTTCCGCTGTTTCGATTCGGTATTCAACATCCGGACTTTTCGATGCAGTCTTTATAAAAACTCGCCCTTTTCCGAAGAATGCCGAATCTCACTGTTGGAATCGAGTTTTTAGAAATATTCGATATAGATATTCTAGTGTAGTCGTATTATATGTTTCAATTAGAAAATTACCGCCATTATGACAATCTTTAAGCCGAAATCGATCGCACGATTCTAATGAGTTTATCTCGCGAACATGTCCCGTACGGTGCTGTCACATTTTAAATAAGTTTACGTATTAAACCCTTTATAAGTGTCTTGCCATTAGTTGTAAGTGTCCATTAAATAAACAAATATTATTATAATAACGGTTTTATGGCACTTACTACTTCTGCTTACGAGTTATCATACATGTCAAATCCCCGAGCTAGCGCTTCGGCCTTGACAACGCCATGGCGTCGGTTTAGCACCGCATTACCTATTATCGATAAAATACGCGCACTAATGCCAATGACGTAGTTTTCGAAGTTGGAAAGAATTTAAATTGTGGGTGGCATTGTTAAAACTAGATAAAATACGTTGATCAAGTTGTCTATTAAAACCGACAGGCAAGAAGCTTAGGCTTACATTAAATAGTGTTAAGCATTTCACACATACCTACTTACTTAGATTTAAGGCTAATACTAATAAATAGCCTTTAATATACTATTATTATTATACTTTATACTATAAATAAGTTATAGACCTATTTCTTAGTATAACTAATGCTATATACTATATGTATCGATTGATAAAGTAAGTCTGGGCCTATTATTGGTTATGATAAGTAAAGAAGCTTGGTGATAAACTTATTTAATTATTTGTAATAATTATGCTTAGGCCTATAACATTAGTAAATAATTAACAAAAGGTGCAGCAATTGACATGGGGGGGGGGTACTAATTAATAAGGCAGTGAATTTAGAATGACATGAAAAAGGCATGATAATTATTATTCATAATAATTTAGGATACAATTTTTACATTTAATAATAAAAAGTAACAAAAAACAAATAACAACAAACAATACGGATTTAAATCACTGCATGTTGCCAATATATATATTCATATAAGCAGATAGACAGGGAAGCTGTAACTTCTGATTTGATACAAATTAACACTTAGCTTAATAAACTTTTACAATAATTTAAGGTTTTTCTATTGATTAGTAATTTAGTTGTACCAAAATATCAATAGGGTCTTATAAAGGCCCTAGTATATTAAAGTAGTTTCCCTTTTGGACCTGTCAATCCATCATCCATAAAGCAGCTGAAGTAGAGTTTATCTGTTTCTTGACCCATGCACATGAAGTGATGGTGTGGTTAGCTCTCTGCCAAGCTATCTTTACTTTCCCTTGGGTCAGGTACTCATCTGAGCTTGGTGGATGCTGCACGCTGCACAGACAGACTCGTCTGAGATCTGAGCTTAAGACTTGCATGTTAGTAGTTGAGTGCTTTAACACACCATCCCTAGTTTTATTTTTCAGCATTCTTCTTATTACATGCTTCAGTATCAATAACCAAAATGTATCCTATCTATTATAGTAACATTCTGGACATACGTCCGTTGCAGTCACTATAATTACTATAAAAGGGTGCAACACCCTTTCATAGGACTTTTTAATTATATGCAGTCATACTTAATATAATTTTTTTCTATATTTCTATTGCCCCCACCCTCTAGCAAAGTTTCAATTTTAATATTAAAAAAAAAACATAGACTTTCAGTCTGCATATTGACCTATATAGAACAGCACCCCTCACTTTAATTTGACTTGATTAGTTCTAATTATCCTTCATCAAATTTTGATTTTACTTTCATATTTCTATTTCCCACACTCTCTAGCACTAATGTGCAAAGTTTTATAATTATATCTCGAATAGCAGCAGTGGTATGCAAGCCTAAAGCCAATCACACAATTAAATCCGATGTTACAGTGATATATAACAGGTTTAATACATAACTTTAAAAATTCATATAAAAAAAACTATTAGGCCTAGAATAATAAATTTGGTATTTTTATCAATGGGGTATATTATAGGATTAATCTGTGTACATTTTATCATTCTATGGTAATTAGGAAAAATATCCCAACATTCCTACTAGAATCTAGATCTCGATATCTCGGATAGGCCAAATTAAATGAATATTTATAAAAACAAACCTTTATCGCTAACGACAAATGACGACTTGATAGGCCCAATTTCAGAAAATACTTTTTCAAGCTTTTCATTTGTTGTAGAGTATGGTAAATTTCTGATGAAAAGAGTTTTGCCATGCCTTTCGCCTGCCATGTTTGTTTATATGTTGATGGGATATTGCCAGATAAATATATGAAAAAGAAACTCATTTTAAAACGGATTAATGCAAAACCTGGTAGGCCTAGATTCTCTATAAACATATATATATATATATATATATATATATATATATATATATATATATATATATATATATATATATATATATATATATATATACATATATTTGTATGCATGTGTGAAATGAAACTAAAAATAATAGGTAAATAAATGCTAATGAAAATACGCTGCTAGTATTCCAAGATAGGACAAAAAAAAAATGTTAACTGTTGGGGATTTAGCAAAAAAAACGAATTTATACACGTTAGTCATATTAGGTGGCTCTTTCAGTATTATCTAAGCCAGGGGTCTCCAAACGGCCCGCGAGGTCTTCTCGTCCGGCCCGCGGGAATCTTTTTGTCCACGGAAAAAAATGTTTGTTGGAGGTGGCTGAGGAACTTTGCCCAGAAAATTCAAAACAATTTAAAAATGTAGTTTCGGGTGCAAATGCCTTTGCTCGCCATGTTGCAGACATTGGTGAAAATATTGTGACTCAAATAGCGAAAAATGCAAGCAAGTTTCGCCATTTTTTTCAATTGCAATCGATGAGTCGCTGGACAGTTGTTCCACCTCTCAACTGCTTGTGTTCATTAGAGGCGTTGATGAAGACATGAACATAACACACGAGCTGGCTTCCCTACATGTCATTTATGGCACTGTTACCGGAGAAAATAGATTCAATGAGTTAAAAGTAACCTTTCTATCACTGTTATAAGCGGCAGCAAATCTCATCAATTAAAAAAAAATAATTGCTGATTATAACTTGGACTGGACTAACATGAGTGGCATAAAGAAAGGCTTGGTTGGACAAGCGAATGAGAAAAACATTCTACAACCAATGTTCCTACACTGTATTATTCAGAAGCTAGCTTTGCGTGCTAAATATGTGGACATTAGCTGTGTACTGAATCCTGTGGTGAAGATGGTGAATTTAATAAGGTCAGATGAGCTCATCTATAGATAGCTCAGAGACATGTACAAAGATACAAACACAGAATCGCAAGACTTACTATATTACACAGCAGTAAGAGTTCTGAGCAGAGTAGACCTATAAGAAAATCGATTGGAAAATTATTTTTACTGTTGTTGATAAGAATTTTTTTTGGAGCCCCCGAATTTGGGTGTCTCCTGTTCAACTCAATAATCCGCCATGGTTAATGAGCTATGCCCTCATAACAAAATTTTCTGTACTCTTGAGATAAACCTTGTCATATCATTTGTAGCTCCCGCCTGCCGTATAATTTCGGTTTTAATTCTCATTTATTCGGCAAATACAGCAACAACCTACCTTCCACTTCAAATAACTAATATTCTAACTAGTAATAATGTTACTTCCTGCCTTTTAAAAACGTTTGGAATATAGCCGCATTTGTAAGCCATTTGACGGATCACTCATACAATCACATGTTCAAGTAAAACATATTTTTCTAGTCTGTTAATATTAAGTGCTTTATTTCCTGAAATTGGTTGATGAACTGAATTGTGTGACAGAAAAAAAAAAGTACAATAAGCTAGAGAGCATCGCTTTATGTAAACATTTTGTGAGCAGAAAGCGACGACAGCTGATGACGGGCGGGGCATTTTGACGTTTTTACTTTCTCGTATATACGAAGTATAGAGAAAGTTTTGTAATCGTGCAAAAAAAAAAAATCGAGGTTTTTACAAATCTCGACGTTTTACACCTCACTGATACGGAAAAACATAATTTTGTAATCTTGTCCGTATGTCTGTGTGTCTGTCTGTGTGTGTGTGTGTGTGTCCGTGTGTAAACACGATAACTTGAGTACCGTTACAGCTAGGTTGATGAAATTTCATATATAAGTATTTTATCAAAATCGTAGATCCGTATCAACTTTTGAGCGATTTCCTATAACCGGAAGTGGTACTTTTTCTACTTTGAATTTTTCAAAAGCCTATAACTTGAGTACTATTTCAGATAGATAAATGAAATTTGATATGTAAGTAAAAGATCTAATTCTCAACTTTCTGTCAAATTTTGAGTAATTTCCGTTGACCGGAAGTACTAATTTACGCTATTTCCGATTTCTAAAAAAACGCATGTAAATTTATAAAGTACTAATAGTATTGCGCACTATTATGCACATCTTTATTTAGCGTTCACTTGGTGTGCAATTCTTTTTTCTACGAGATTATATTCTACGAGCCGACCCGCTGCGTATCATACGCCGCTATTTAGTTGTTTTTTTTTCTACTTTTCAGTAATTTATAATTTGTGAATTCGACAGTACCAATGCTGCCACTAAAAATATTTGCTTACAAACACTAAACAACCCTTCCCCCCCCCCCACGTGAAAGCAGCCTACTCTTAGTTACCTCCTCTAAGTTTAAAATCGTTTCAAACTAAATTATCTGCCCCTAATAGCCGTCACCAAACCCGTCTCTATGATTGTAGAATGTAAACAGCGTGAACCGCAGCTCACCAGACCATGTAAGGGGGTGGGGGTGGGGGGTGGTAGCGATAGAGGAAGAGAGGGGACTGTAAGGCGCGCTTGCAGCTTGTTTTCTAACGGCTCCCAGATGAGAATTATATATATAGATTTTAACAACTCATTTTGTGGCCTTTGTTTGGTAAATAAAATAAATGGCTTGTCATTTTAATACAATTTAAAGAATGGTCTGAAATGTTTCCACTGATTGCTAGGGTTAGCCCATACACCTGATTGCCTGAGTGCTTGCGAGTGAGAACTAATTCACAGTGTAAATACTATATAGTATTATTGTATCTATTTTTGTTACCACCGCGGGACGCGATCTGACAAAATAACTTTTAATTGCTTGGTGTATTAGAAAGAAGGATCAATCATTTATCACTCAAGTGCTAGAAAATTATTATGAAGCGCAGGAATCACTGACACAGGTAATGAAGAGAGGGTTTCTTGGCCTCTCAAGGGCCATGTGTAACATAGGTGTGAAGCGAGTCTCAAGTGATCAGTTTATCAATGCTGAGCTCACAGCTCAACATGTTGTCCAGATAGACAAGAACTTCCCAGAAGATGAAAATAAATCAGAGCTCTTGTATGAAAAAGATATAGAAACATTGTTTCATTTAACCAAACCAACTGATGGTGGTATAGATGAGATCATTAGGAGGACTGCAGCCATTGAAACCCCTACAAATGTTGAGGGTTTGAGGAAAAGAAATGTTGAAAACACGGAGAATTCTGGGGACAAAAATAAAACTCTGGTTACAGGAGAGGAAAAAGGTGCAACACAAAAAAGTAAAAGTTTTGACCCTATAAAACTGTTTGGGGTTTTAGTGCCCCAGCCATTACGAACAAGTCAGCAAGATTTTATCCAATCAGTTCAGATCTGTGTTAACTTGGCCAACTTGAAGCATCAGCTGCTACACCTACAGTGCTTGTACAAGCAGCTGTTAGAAGAAAAGAAAAAACAGACTTCATCATCAGAAGAACTTTAGACTTGAAACAGTGAAACTGAGAGGACAAAGTCACATTGCTTCAGTCTTCCAAAAACGTTTCCCATTAATCATAATCTAAACCAGATCAATCTTAAAATAGTTTAATGTATTCAAGATTAACTTTTTAAGTGGTACAGTATATTTGATTGTATATTTAAGTTTAAGTGTACATTTTGAAGCTTCATAATAAAAATTATTGTCTAAAAAAAAAAAAAAATCATTTATCACAATTCGGCTGCTGTTTGTGTTTTCTAACGCTAAAAACTACTAACTTTATTGATATAAGCGATTGCTGGTCCAGACTATGTTATTTTTAGAAAGCGTCGGCTTTATACAAACAATAAAGGAGGTGGACAGGTTTTATTTGGGTGGACAGGTTTTATTTATATGTACGTGTGTGCAAGCATTATAAATTTTGAAAAAAAAATTGAAGCTTGTGATGCAAACATAAAATCTTTAGTTTTTATAGTGAAAACCAACAATCAGGCGGTAGATTTGGGCCCTTAAAAATCGGGGGCCCCTGGCTGCAGCCCTTTCAGCCCCCCCCCTTAATCCGCCACTCCCCCCCCTCACACATCGTTACAAAATTTCGAACCCCATCCCACCACCCTAGGAGTGTGACGTCATTTATTCATACAATTCATATAGCAGTGCACCATTAGAGTTTCTTTCAGGCATGTTCATGGTTTGTGTGTGTGTGGGGGGGGGGGCGGGGCACAGTGCTGATTGTTCTTGAGCGTCGACCACAAACTAAGGCGGAGCAGATAACTGTCTTGTGCTACTGATTGGGTTTTAACGCAAATATTTGGAGTTGTCCTTTGTGGTTTCAGCTTCATTTAGAACAATTTACTACAAAGTGGAAAATAAAACAAATATAAAAGCTTAATAATGATATTATTTATGACTTGCACATTTGAATGTCAAATTTGCCTGAATTATGTAACATAGTATAGTCAGTGGCGTAGCGAGGTCGGGTGTCAACCGGTGCGGCACTTAATGGTGTCACCCCCTCCCACCCCAGAGGCGTTGCGACCCTTCCCGGGGACAAACTTTCAAACTTTCGATTTGCACCCCCCCCTCAAGTTTTTGATTTGCACCCCCCCCCCCCCTTCAAACTTTCGATTTGCACCCCCCTCAAGTTTTTCTCTATATATTTTGCTATTTTTTGCCTTGGTGTCACCCCCCTAAATGGTGTCACCCAGTGCGGTCCGCACCCCCCGCCCCCGCCCCCCCCCTCGCTACGCCCCTGAGTATAGTTAGCAGCTGTAAAAGAACTAGATATGTCACCGTGTACTTTGCAAATAATTTCTGCTGGATGCCTATAAAACTATTGTATTTATTGTATATCCATGTTTTGTTTATTTATGTCATCCATCTTCATTTGTTCTAAAATATTTGTTTCGTTCTCTTTGATTTATTTAAAATCATTTCTTTTTTAGCGCAATTTCCATACTGGACAATTGCGATTATTAACTCGTCAAGGATGGATGTGTGTCCGATGTGTGTCCGCAGCTTTAAGTCGTATCTCCTCCTCATCGAAGCAATATCAAGGACTAGTTCCAAAAGCAAATATGTTAAGCAAGTTCCGAGGATGATTGTGGGCCAAAAAAATTCCCGGAATTCCTTCCTGGATTTCCCGGAAAAGCCAAAAAAAAAAACTCGAAAAAAATGCCGTTTTCTCCCATATCTCGGCAACCAGACCACTAAGCGACTTGAAACATTTACCAATCAATTTCTGCCATAATTTAGAACAATATTGCCGAAGAAAGTTTTCAAAAATATCCTTTTGTTCGGTCACAAAAAATTAATTAAGGAAATTGCGCTTAAATTGTCACTAGACTTTTTATTAACTTGTTTAAGTTATCTTAATCGGAATTTGATGGCAAGTTGGTACACCTTTATCTAGTCTTTTAATGTCTTAAAAAAAGTTGTACTTGTGAATATTTGGCAGCTAAAAATAATAATTATTATAAAATAATGGTTACACTTTTAAATTTTTTTTTTTAAAATGATAAGTACTTGAACATATTTTAAATTGAATGTACATATTATATTTTTGGAAACCTCCTTATTGTGAGCCTTGGCTCGCCAGGCAGAGAAAAAAATTGCGAGTCACATCAATTGTACCTTTATGTTTATTTGTCAAGGGAAATAAGCAAAACAATGGAACTTCTTATTTATACTAGTTTAAAATAAAATAAAATAGTTTTACTGAGCTCAAGAAAACAGCTATTATTATTGCTGTTTTAACTGTTTGCTTTCAGCAGAGGACGAGATTTAAAAAGAAAATCAAAGCTTTGTGTGCTGAAACAAGTTTTGTGTGTTATAATTTAAATAGAAGCGAAGAAGACTATTTTTGAATGTCACTGTTTCACAAAGAACAAGCAGCTGTAGCAAAGTATAGGCAGGCTCGAACATTTTCGGACTCCCAGGCTGTGGAAACTACAATAACACTGACCGTTTGATCAACTGACCACTTAACCTTACGCTAATGCAGGCAGTTGAGGTAAGTGGTACATAATCTTTACCGGAGCAGCAGATATTAGCAGTAATGTAGTGGTTACCGGGATCAAACTGTAGGCAACTAGGTGAATCATAGTGCATAATTATTTAAGCCCCATGAAATCATGGTGCAAATACATAATGTACCCCCCCCCCCAAGAAAAATCTTGGTGCAAATACATGATGTTAGCCCCCTCTCGTGAAATCACGGTGCAAATACATAATGTAAGCAAGAGCAATAACCGAACACAGAACTGCCAGAGTGATGTTAAAAAAAATTAAGTATTATAAAAACAAATGAAATATCATACAAGTAACATACATGAAATATCTACATTCAAATAATCTAGTGATAGTTATGACATACATATATTAAACCAACATTCAAATGACATGTATTTGATAGTTCTGGCACACCAAAGTGCAAGCTGTGACATGTGACACAATCAGTTGACAGTCGTGGTGTCAGTGACACTAAAATCAGACGATGTTGTCTCAGATGTAATCTCGCTGTGTTTTTCCCGCCTCTCGTCCCCAAATGCGGGATTTATCGCGTAAACATCGTAAACATTGGCACTTCTTGATTGGCCAGAACTTGTCAGGTTTGTATCTGAAACTAAAAGAAAAAAATTCTATGTGGCACGTGTAGGACAGCAGGTCATTAAACACCGCTAGAATATAATTATCTTATGTCTTACAGATACTTGATAATCTTTTTTCAATATTTTACTCCAGAAATCAATTACCCCTAATCTTTATTCAATAGCATTTTCTTAAAATCAATACTGCTGCAATGTTAGATTTTTTATATACATTTATACAATCAGTGTACTTATAGTTTGCTGAATGGATACACAGTTTTTAACAGTAACACAATCTTAGTTGTTTGACGTCATCGTTTTAACCCTGGCACAATGTTAACTTGTGAATATCATGTCAACATAATGTTAACAAGTTAACATTGTGACCTGCTAACATGTAAAACACTAACCAGAGGGTGTCTGTGTGGATGAAAGTTTGTGTCTGACATCCGGCTTCTGAAATTACAAGTGAGATAAAAAAAAATTATAGTGTCTGTTTTAGAATTTCCTAGACAACAATGTACGACAAGATTGAAACACTGTTCGTTAAATGTTCCGTGACATAAATATATATTAAACTTATTTATGAAGTTTTTATATAGTCTTGTGTTATTTCAAAATGTATTTCGTAACATGATCCATACCTTCTTGATGTTTATTCTGGATTGGATAGCGCTGGTGAGTCGCAGATAAGTTTTCTGTATCAAAGCAAGGAGTGATTTCTTCACCTGTAAACAGCACGATTCTCTTGGTTAATTATGTTTGATTATTTTGTTTGAGGTGGTTTTAAAATAAGTTAAATGGATCTACCCATTTCTGTAAACTATAGACTAATCTTAACTTACTTGCTGTGGCACGATGCAGTAGAAAATAAAAATGAACACTCCCTAGATAAAAAAAACAATAGAAAAAAGTTAACACGCACCAAGAAAAAGAAAAGTTTTTTGACGTTGGGATAATGTCCAACTACAATTTTTTAAAAGCACACATCTTTAATTTTGGCATAGATGATAAAATGGTCTGTTATTTCTTGCGGTTGTCAGACCCACTGCTTGTTTATTTAGTTGACCAAACACATCGTCTCCAAAATTTAGTTACGTCTGTAGAAACTTACCACTTCAGCTCGTAAAATTGACGTCGAGCTACATTTACCTGTGATGAGTTTAAATGGCAAAAAGGTACTGAAACATCTAGACTCACCTGTAATGAGTTGAGGATGGCAAAAAGGTATTGAAACACCACCGAATCTTCGTTGACAGACAACACACCCAGGACCCACGTCACGCCTAGTACAGGAGACAACAGGCCGATTGTCCGAATGGTGATCCTAGGGAGGTGGTCAGCAAACATAGGTCAGTGACGTGAGTAAACTATTAGTGTTGGTTACATAACAAGTAACTATTCTAGATGGCTACATAAGAAAACAGTAATTGATGGTTAAATAACAAAAGAATCAGTGATGGTTTCATATCACAAAACAAATTGTAAATTAAGTGAACTTTGGCTGGCAAATTCAGTTTTTTTAAAAAATTTAATGATTTGATAAATTCCTCGGAAAAATAAATGTATTTAAATTAAAGAAATTATAGTTCTAAATTTTTTGTTAAAATTGGAAAAGGTTGTAAAAGATTTTGAGATGTACTTTGCTTTTTCTTTAGCAGTCTGTGACATCATGTGTTTGGTTCCTTGCATGACCCGCAACACTTGAACTATGGTCGCAAAATTGATCTGGAAAGAGATAATTACTTCAAAATAAACATTTCACGATCCAGTCTAAGATATTCATGAAGATGAAATTAGTAAAATATTTACTATTAATCTTTCTTAAGTAGTAGAAGAAAGAATTCCTAATAATTATAATTGTTTTAATCTAATGATTTCATTTTTTTCCTATTCACGCTAGAAATGAAATATTGCAGTTCTAACTTAATCTCTGACAAACCTAACACCGATATAGATTATAGCATTGTACAATGTTTTCGCTTACCAAAATAATCAGCAAGACTGGGACGATGAACGCCCATATCACACCGTTTTCTGTTGATAACCAACAGCTGAAATATAATGAGCGAAAGGCTTAGGCAAACAGGCAGCAATATATCGACAGTGTGTGTCATATAAAGAGCAGAAAGACTTAGGCCAAGAGGCAGCAATATATCGACAGCCTTTGAAAATAATGTCAGGTACTCACAAATCTTCAAACCCGTATCCTTCTGCTGTTGTGATGCACAGGGACAGAGCTACAATCACTGCTGGTGCCACTAGAAATAAGAGCAAAAGTTTAAAAGTTAAACAAAAAGTAAGGAAAATAAGTCTAAATGGATACTGTGGACCTAAATAAGCGGCGCAGTTGTCAAAAATGGAAAATTTTAGTCTGCCCTCACCCCAATTTTAAAATGCCACGCCCCCCTACCCCCTGAGAAAAAGTGTGAATGAAACCCCCTGATGATTGGTATAATTTAACATCTTTCAATTCTGACAATGAATGCATGACAAATAAACCGGGAGTGATCTCCCCTAAACTTTCTCGAATATTCTTATATAAAACAACAGGGATGGGAACTCGGGCGACATGATTTTTAATCCATTTTAAATACTTAAAGTTTTAAAAATAGAATAAAATCTCGTAGACAAAAGAATTGCACATCAAGTGAACGCTAAATTAAAAAAACCGGTAGTGATCTCCCCTAAACTTTCTCGAACATTCTTATATAAAACAACAGGGGATGGTAACTGGGAATATAGTTATGATTTTTAATCCATTTTAAATACTTAAACTTTTAAAAATAGAATAGAATCTCAGTAAAAAACAATTGCGCACCAAGCGAACGCCTAATAAAGGTGTGTATAATAGTGCGCAATAGTATTAGTACTTAATAAATTTACATTAGTTTTTTGAGAAATCGGAAGTAGCGTAAATTACTACTTCCGTTCAACGGAAATTACTCAAAATTTGAGAGAAGGTAGAGAATTAGATCTTTTACTTACATGTGAAATTTCATTTATCTATCTGAAATAGTACTCAAGTTATATGCTTTTGAAAAATTCAAAGTAGAAAAAGTACCACTTCCGGTTATCGGAAATCGCTCAAAAGTTGATACGGATCTACGATTTTGATAAAATACTTATATATGAAATTTCATCAACCTAGCTGTAACGATACTCAAGTTATCGTGTTTACACACGGACAGACCGACAGACACACAGACATACGGACAGAATTGCAAAGCCCAGTTTTTCAGACTGGATTACGCATAAAACCTCTTAATTTTGATAAATCTGGATTGATAATTTTTGCCCGATTAAAATAAGTCCTCTATACTTCGGATGTGATGAAGGACTGAGGTGTAATACGGTGAAAATTGTTAAAATTTCAAGTGATTTTTGTGCACGATTACAATACTTTCTCTATACTTCGTCAGTGGCGGAACTAGAAAAAAGGGGCCACCCCGCAAAAAAAAATTTAGCCCCCCCCCCATATAAATATATAGGCCTATATATATATATATATAGGCCTATATATATATATATATATATAGGCCTATATATATATATATATAGGCCTATAAATAAATATATATATAAATATATAAATATATATATATATATATATATATATATATATATATATATATATATATATATATATATGTAACTGGGGTAGGCCTAACTACCAGTTACAAATGATAACGAACGATAAGCCGCGACGCAGTTACAATCTGATGCAACCATAACAGGTGGCTTATTGGATCGGACGGATAACAACCTCAAAGCCAACGCGTGCTATTTTGGGAAATGGTACGAGGAAGATTCAGACGATCTGTCAACTTTGATTGATGGGATGCAGATGTTTTATTGGATCGGACTGTACGTCAGAAACTGCGCCGTTGGTATTCGGAGACATCGATTACAAGTATCGATTACGGAAATGGATACAAGTACGACTACGATTTCAGGGGATAAATAGGAGGGGACGGCTGAGCTCGAGTCTCTTACCTCTTTCATCGCTCGCTTAGATCAGTCAGTCTGTGTGACTATGTCAAGTCGGTTATAGAACGGGTTAGCCGTATTGTGTTAAGAAGGATTATAGACATGTGGATTCAGTTATATAAAGCCTAGTGAAGGACTGTTAGGGGTCAGTTGATTCAGACTATTATTGAGAAGCATTCCTGTTGATTTATTGTGTTATTATGAAGCATTTCTTGATTCATGTAATAAAGGATCAATAGCGAACCTGCATCTTGAGTATCTATACTGTGGTCAATGTTGTCTAGAATGAGTGGTTAAACTCGTTAACACGTGGCACTACAGGCAATTAGGTCTCATTACATGTGGCGTTGCGAGCATGGTAACTGTTGGCTCGTTACAATTGGCGTTGTCGGCAGGATAAATGTTCGCTCGTTACAATTGGCGCTGCGAGCAGGGTAACTGTTGGCTCGTTACAATTGGCGTTGTCGGCAGGATAAATGTTCGCTCGTTACAATTGGCGCTGCGATCAGGATGAATTCAACTAGACTTGCCGTTTAAGGCACCCATAGTCAACCTTGTGCATAACTGTGTTTAGTGTGTGTGTGAATTCGGACATTCAGGAACTGTGAAAATTGAGGAACGAGGAAAAATTTTTCATACACACACGGTAAGAAAGAACTCTTTTTTTTTAGTACTTAAGGAAGAAAATGTCTTCTCTGGACGAGAAGCAGACCCATATAGTGGTCCTACCCAGAGAGTCCCACATTAACAAATTTTACGGGGACGGAGATCCAACTTTAACCAACAGGTTCAGTGAAGAGGTCAAAGCGGCCTGGGCCTCGAGACATATGTCACCAGAGGAAAGATTAAGACTGCTGATGGGCAGTATAGGTGAAACGGTTAGGGCAGAGGTTAAGTGCCACGATAAAACCGTCCAATCAGATCCAGATAAGGTGCTAGATCTGATTATGGAGACCTTTGGGGAGAGACGGTCGGGATCGCAACTGCTATCGGGATTCGTGGGCTTAAAGCAGAGAATGGCGGAGAGTGTGATGGAGTACTCACACAGGATGAACAGGGCCTTTGATTTGGTAAAGGGCAAATCACCGGACATTGATGTACGCCTACTGAGGGACCATTTCATCGAGGGGCTAGCAACCCCGATCTTAAGGAGAGAGTTGAAAGAGGAGGTCCACAGAGACCAGCAGTTGACCTTCCTTCAGGTCAGGAACTCAGCGATCCGCAGGTCCGAGGATGAGGACCAATCGAATTGTTCGGTGGACAAAGTCTCTGTGCCTGAACAGAGACAATCCCCACCCACAGGGGCCGACACGATGGAGACCATGATGGCTCAACTGTTGGCCCACCTAGATAAGGTTGACCAACGTTTGGAGAGGTTAGAAAGCAGGTCAACAGCTGAGAATCAGGAAAAGAACGGGACAAAACAGGGACGGGTTGGACGGCCGCGTCCTGCCAAGCCATCACTCCAATGGACGGCCGACGGTCGACCAATTTGTTTGTCTTGTTCACAACCCGGACATATGGCACGGTACTGCCAGGGAAACGGTCGTCCTCTGTAAGGCAGGGCCAAGCTACAGAGGGGCGAGGTCATGGCCCAAGAAACAAAATGATGGGAGTCTGTCCCGAAATGGTGATTACGATTGGGGACATCGCGGTGAAGGCAATTGTGGATACAGGCTCCCAGGTGACGACAATTACGGAAAATTTTTACACCAAATGGATGAAAGGAAAAGACCATAGGTTGAGGTCTGACACATGCATGCGCCTGACGGCAGCTAATGGACTAACCATTCCATACTGTGGTTATTTTCTGGCGGATGTCGTGGTGGCAGGACATAGGTTGAAGCAGGTTGGGGTGTTCGTTACGAAACACAACCTAGAGACAAATGTGTCAAATATACCTTGCCTGTTGGGCATGAATATTCTTGGCCAGTTGCCAGAATTCCTTACAAATATTGTCGGATCGACCACACCAGGTCGGGGACCCAAGTTGGCCAGGTTTGCCAAGACCAGAGGAAGGACAGCAGTCCCGGCAAACACGGTCAAGGCAATCACATTACAAATTGGTGATAGAAGCGTGAATGGTGATGTGATGATAGAACCATGTGGCGCCGCACTGAGGGCAGGCGTCGTGTTACTGCGGACATACACATCAGCGGAAAACGGACTAGTTCAAGGGTTGGTAGCAAATGTTTTGGATGAAGAAATTTTTATACCGCCTAATACTCTGGTAGGAGTACCACAGAACGTCGAGGTACAAAGGTCGGCACAGTGCATCGAACTGATCAATACCAGCAGTAATGAAGTAACAATTAGGTCGGTCAATGTGACGGCCGAGGTGAAGAAAGAAGATGGCCGATCATATACATTCCCGGAAACTGAGGACCCAAAACTAAATGAATTGCTGAATAAATACAGTGATATATTTGCCTCGTATGAGGGTGATTTGGGGTACACGGAAGTAATAAAACACCAGATACCCTTACTACAAGACAAGCCGGTGGCGCAACCTTATCGAAGATTACCACCGAGTCACTACTCGGCGGTGAAAGCACACCTGAATGATCTACTAAAAAAGGGAATTATTACAACCAGTACAAGCCCGTATGCGGCACCGATAGTTGTGGTAAAAAAGAAGTCAGGGGAGATAAGACTGTGTTGTGATTACCGGAAATTGAACAATATCACAAGAAGGGATGCATTCCCCTTGCCTCGTATTGATGAATGTCTTGATGCGTTGGGGGGAGCAAGATTTTTTTCTACCTTGGATTTGGCTAGTGGCTACCACCAAGTGGCCATGCACCCCAACGATCAACACAAAACGGCATTTATTTCTCCACTGGGACTGTACGAGTGGACCCGTATGCCGTTTGGTTTGACTAATGCACCTGCTACATTCCAGCGAGTAATGCAGAGTGCTATGAGTGACTTTCTATTTCAAATAATGTTGGTGTACTTGGATGATATACTGGTTTACTCAAAAACTTGGGAGGACCATCTAAAAAGGTTAGAACAAGTGTTTCTCCGTCTTAGGGAGATAGGAGTAAAGCTGAACCCAGACAAATGCAACTTTGGTCTGAAATCGGTACATTTTTTGGGTTATGTGATTTCGTCGGATGGCATCGCCACTGACCCAGATAAAATTGCAGCTGTTAAAGAATGGAAACAACCAACAACTACGGTAGAGGTCAGATCATTCTTGGGCTTTGCTTCCTATTATAGAAAATTTGTACCTGGTTTTGCAAAAATTGCCGCACCATTGCATGACTTGGTAAACAAAATGACAAAGAAACACAGTAAGGAGAAAAAGAAAGGTAAAACACACCTGATAGGTGAACTATGGACTGATGAATGCCTGAACTCGTTTAAGCTCTTGAAAAAGGCTTTGACAGAGGCGCCGATATTGGGATACGCGGACTTTGACAAACCATTTCGGTTAGAAATTGACGCCAGCTCTAAAGGCCTGGGAGCTGTGCTATCACAACAACAAAAGCAAGGTTTCAGGGTTATTGCGTATGCCAGTCGAGCTCTGAAGGAATCAGAGAAGAACATGACAAATTACAGCGCCATGAAACTAGAACTTTTGACATTAAAATGGGCTGTGACTGAAAAATTCAGGGACTATCTCTTAGGTGCTAAATGTGTGGTATACACTGACAATAACCCCTTGAGTCACCTAAAGACAGCAAAGCTAGGATCCATCGAACAGCGATGGGCAGCAGAATTGGCACTCTTTGACCTAGAGATAAAGTATCGCCCGGGGCGGTCCAATGGCAATGCGGACGCCTTATCAAGGAATCCTTACGAGAAACCGGGTGATGAGGAAGAAACGCTGACAGGAATATGTGAGGTCAGAGCGTCAACAGATATCCCTCATGGGGTACAAGTGATGCAGAACGGGCAGACCGGGGTGGAGCACATATCCACAGAGCCCGAACATATGGACAGTAGTGATTTTAATTGCCTTAATCACAAAAAGATAAGAGATGCCCAGAGAACGGATAGTGGCTTACAACCGCTATTGAAATACGTCCAGGAACAAAAATTCCCAGGAAGAAGGGAAAGAGAACAATTTGGTCGAGAAACAAAGAAAATACTGAGTCAGTGGAACCGTCTCAGTATAAAGGATGGTGTTCTCATGCGGAGAATTCATGACCAAATTGATGGCACAATACACCAGGTGGTGGTGCCGGGACAATTACGAGAAGAAGTGCTAAGGTTGGCACATGACAGGGCAGGACACCAGGGTCAGGACAGAACGCACAAAATTTTACGACGGAGGTGTTACTGGCCCAATATGGAAATGGAGGTCAAACGCCATTGTGAGGCTTGTGTGAGGTGTCAGCATGCGAAAATGCCAGTTGTCAAAATGAGACAGCCATCAGGACACCTACTGGCGACAAAACCACTAGAGATTGTGGCTATGGACTTTACGTCGTTGGAGCAATCATCGGATGGGACGGAACATGTGTTGGTAATGACTGATGTATTCACCAAATGGACTGTGGCGGTGCCCACACGAGATCAGACTGCCAAAACAGTGGCAAAGGTCTTATTAGAACATTGGTTCATCAAATATGGCATACCAAGACAATTACACTCTGACCAAGGAAGGGCTTTGAGTCAGAAGTAATTAACCAACTGTGCAGTCACTACGGGATCAACAAATCCAGAACAACCACATTTAATCCGAAAGGAAACGGACAGTGCGAACGGTTCAACCGCAGCATGCATGATTTGCTGCGTACTCTAGAACCTGAACAGAAAAAACGTTGGCCGGATTTTCTCCCAGAGTTGGTATATCTATACAACTGCACCCCACATGCCACAACCGGCCTTTCGCCACACATGTTGCTGTTCGGACGGGAGGCTCGACTCCCTCTTGATTTGTTCTTAGGAAAAAGGGAGAGTATGACTGGCTCATACACCGCACTGGAATATGTGAATGAACATATGAGAAGAATTAGAGAAATGTACAGGGTAGTACAGGAAAGACTAGAACATGAATCTCGGCGAAGGGAACCGCCGATACAGACAAAGGACCCGCCACTCGAACTGAACGACAGGGTATTACTGCGTAGCCACCCGTTAGGCAGAAACAAGATCCACGACCTCTGGGGACAGGAGATATGGCAAGTCGTGGAGATGCCTAAAGCAGCAGGTGGCCCCTTTAAGATAAGACCCATCGATCACGCCAAACCGGATCGGTGGGCGAATATTGCTCAATTAAAGAAATATTGGAATAGGCAAGAAGAGCAGTTACACATAGAGAAACCCAAGACAATTAGGGAACCGGAAGTTACAACGGAAATTCACATACCCATCCCGAAACAATGTCACCATCAACAGAACAACAGCGATACACAAGGGGAGGATACCGGCAACAATGAGGATCCCGGTCCCTCCAGAAGCAAAGAGACAGTAGACCATCAGATAAGTGGTCCGCGGAGAAGTTTGAGGAACAGAAAGAATACGAAATTTTTTGTCAGCAATCATCAATTCTTTCATGGTCGCGCTGGTATGAGAACAGACTGTTCAAAAAGCTATAAAAGTGAACTGGTGAAAGCACCAAATGAAAAAGGTGGATGTGAATTCTAGAACTGTGTTGTGTCTGAGGAGGATTATGTGGACACAGTTGATGTGAAATAGGTATAACTGTCAATCATATGCGAATGGGACGACATTGACAGTGAGTGGAACAATAAATTTTTGTATGATGGTATGATTGACTTTGAAGGATTGCACCTGCCAAGCGTTGTTTGTGGTTGATAACACACAAAAAAAGGCAGGGGTGGATGTAACTGGGGTAGGCCTAACTACCAGTTACAAATGATAACGAACGATAAGCCGCGACGCAGTTACAATCTGATGCAACCATAACAGGTGGCTTATTGGATCGGACGGATAACAACCTCAAAGCCAACGCGTGCTATTTTGGGAAATGGTACGAGGAAGATTCAGACGATCTGTCAACTTTGATTGATGGGATGCAGATGTTTTATTGGATCGGACTGTACGTCAGAAACTGCGCCGTTGGTATTCGGAGACATCGATTACAAGTATCGATTACGGAAATGGATACAAGTACGACTACGATTTCAGGGGATAAATAGGAGGGGACGGCTGAGCTCGAGTCTCTTACCTCTTTCATCGCTCGCTTAGATCAGTCAGTCTGTGTGACTATGTCAAGTCGGTTATAGAACGGGTTAGCCGTATTGTGTTAAGAAGGATTATAGACATGTGGATTCAGTTATATAAAGCCTAGTGAAGGACTGTTAGGGGTCAGTTGATTCAGACTATTATTGAGAAGCATTCCTGTTGATTTATTGTGTTATTATGAAGCATTTCTTGATTCATGTAATAAAGGATCAATAGCGAACCTGCATCTTGAGTATCTATACTGTGGTCAATGTTGTCTAGAATGAGTGGTTAAACTCGTTAACACGTGGCACTACAGGCAATTAGGTCTCATTACATGTGGCGTTGCGAGCATGGTAACTGTTGGCTCGTTACAATTGGCGTTGTCGGCAGGATAAATGTTCGCTCGTTACATATATATATATATATATATACTCAAACACAAAATACGAACATAGGATACTTATTGCTGACCTGTTCGTATTTTGAGAAATACATGGGTTTTTTTTTAATTAAAACAAATTACAACATTTTGTGCATAAGTGAATTAGTCTATTTTGTGAAAATTAGTTTTATATTGTGTTTGCCGCAAGACCTCTAACATCATATAGGTCAAAAGAATATAAAACATGAAAGCTTTCTGTAAATAATGGTGTCTCGGGTCGTGTTTATTTTTATGTTTTTTTGTATTTATTTTATAAATTTTAAATACATTTTCTTTTTATACAGTGTCATTCTTTAGATAGTAATTTATAAACAAATAATAATAAAGAGAAGTAATTGCTTTTTAATTTGTTTAGTACAAATCTATTAAAAAGAGGTTTATGAGCATCAGTATTTGACTATTTAAAAAAGGGAAATAAGTCATGGTAGAGGTTTGAACGTTTGCTTATCTATAATAAGTTTGATTGTAGGAGAAAGAGGGCTCGGCTTTCACGCTGGTTTAAAAACTAAGGAAAAATGACCAAGGGGTGGTGTCGATAGAATAAAGATAATCCAACCGCAGCTACGGTAATCTTTTTTACAAAACAAACATTAAGTAAAAAATCCAAGAAATTTTTTTTTTAACTATAACAAATTTATTTTTTATGGTCGGCGGTGGGCCCCTAAATGGCGTGGGCCCCCCCCGCATTGCGGGGTCTGGCGGCACTGTAGTTCCGCCCCTGTACTTCGTATATACGAGAAAGTAAAAATGGACAAAATTATTAATAAAAAAAACAACATTGATTTCCTATACGAACATATATGTGAATAGCCTTTAATATCTTACATTTATTAACCCGTTTTGAAAGTGACGAGTAAATGACGTAAGATATTCAAATGTTTTGCCGTTTTTGAAAAATGCAACATATACAGAAAATCTACTCACCATATGCTAAAACAAGTAACTGGATCAGAATTGAATTAGATTTAAAAACCATAGTGACGGACTTGAAGAGCTCCACGCTCTCTGCCAGCATCAGGAAGAAGATGACGAGGAAAATGTAGTGCAGGACAGCAGCAATAACTACACAGCCAGCCTGTGGAAAATGTAGTGTACTACAGCAGGTAAGTATAACTACATAGCCAGCCTGGGGAAAATGTAGTGTAATACAGCAGGTATAACACAAACAGAATGTGGAAAATGTGGGGTACTACAGCAGCAATAACTACACAGCCTGCCTTGGGAAATGTAGTGTCCTACAGCGCTATAGCTACATAAATAGTTTGAAGAAAGGGTATAGACATTTGTTAACATTAGACTAACTGTGTTTTGCCCCCCCCCCACTAATCTGTTAACACGAGACTCAGGGGCGTAGCGAGGGGGGGGGGGGGCGGGGGGTGCGGACCGCACAGGGTGACACCATTTAGGGGGGTGACACCAGGCAAAAATAGCAAAATATCTAGAGAAAAACTTGAGGGGTGAGGGTGCAAATCGAAAACTTGAGGGTGGGGGTGCAAATCGAAAATTTGAAAGTTTGTTCCCGGGAAGCGTCGCTACGCCTCTGGGGGTGCCACCATTAAGTGCCGCACCGGGTAACACCCGACCTCGCTACGCCACTGACGAGACTCACTCTATTTTGGGCCTTGTCCACACAACTGAGAAATATGATGTAACCGAGGAACAGACAAACACACAGGTGAATATTGAGGGTTGAACGATCAGACTTAACCTGCCTGCAGAAAGTCAACAGTTTTTATTATAAGCGCCGGCTAGATAACATATAATGAAACAAAAAATTATGAAAAGTTTAGAGAGAACGTAGTGAAAATAAATCCAGATAAGTATGTTATGTGATTGTATGGGCATAAACTACCAAGCAAGAAAATAGTGGATTTTTGTGGATATACAATACTCATGTGTCGATATTGATTTTCTGGATAAACCATGGGCATAATATATGAAAAGTATGATGGAGTTTTATGAAAGTGTGTGACAAATGGGCGTGTGGATGCAATTCAATCGTCATCACAATAACCCGTCAAACTTATTTCAACATCCTGGAGCTGTGAGTTACTCACTTCCAGAGCACTACGTACACCCCTACAGTACACACGAGTTACTCACTTCCATAGCACTGCGTACACCCCTACAGTACACACGAGTTACTCACTTCCAGAGCACAGCGTACACTCCTACAGTACACACCAGACACACCATGGAGATGGAACATCCAATGATGGAGATGATGCTCAGGGAGTTGTCTAGCTCCTTCTGTAAACATTTGTATAGTACGATAGTAGTACAGCAGTTAAAACTGTATCCTAAGTTAACTCGTTTTATTTTTATTTCATAAGAGCGAAATGATTTTGCTGAAATTACGATTTTTGCACGAACTCAACTATCTGACGTAATCTTATAATGCTAATGGTTAAATGGGTGAAGTGTATGAGGCCACTATATAGTTAAATATATGAAGCAACTAATTAGTTAAGTCTATGACGCAACTATTTAATTAAGTATAGGACGCAACTAATTAATTGAGCGTATGAGATAGTTGACTCACTGATGCTCTGTGTGGGCTCATGAGCAACGCGAAGTTAGTCAGGTGACTACACTGGCAGACGACAGTGGTGGCGCTGTCCTCCACAACATGGCAGCCAGTTGACGCCCACACGCCCCCTTCACTGCGGGTAAAACCTCATGTTTTAATTTAAAGACCTCCAAAAATTTGAGTTGACCAACTCCCCGACTTACTCACTAAGATAAAAAGAAGTTTTTTGAGGCAGGCCAATTAAAACTCTTAATGTATTTAAGGAACACGTAAACACATAATACCTACCCGACGGTTGTATCGAGAAATCCACAGGTAGGGACGGAGTAGGTCTCGTTCTATAAATAGATATACATCATTAGATGTTAGTTAAAACTTATTATATAGTGTGGAGATAGAAACCGCTAAACAATTTCATATAGTCAAACTATAGCAGCATGTAACTAGACATCCAGTCAAATCTCACCCCTGTAACTATAGCAGCATCTAACTAGACATTCCCTCAAATCTCACCGCTGTAACTATAACAGCACCTAACTAGACACCCCCTCAAATCTCACCTGTATAACTATAACAGCATCTAACTAGACATCCCCTTAAATCTCACCGCCGTAACTATAACAGCACCTAACTAGACATCCCGGCCAAAAGGACACCTCTCCTCCCATATCTCACCATTTAGCAAGCCCCTGTATAAATACCTACAACTTAGCTTTCAGCAAGCCCCTGTATAAAGACCTACAACTTTGCTTTCAACAAGCCCCTGTATAAAGACCTACAACTTTGCTTTCAACAAGCCCCTGTATAAAGACCTACAACTTAGCTTTGTGTTCTCATCTCCCGACTTACCTCATTGCCCTTCCTGAACTCAAGCCGCAGGGGCGGGTCCAGATTGGCCGTGTTGATGTTGAGGTTGCACGTGATGATGTTGGAGAAGATGACGCTGTCTGCCAGATCTCTGCCCTCAGGGTATCTGGCAACAACAAGGACGATAGGACTAGAGATGTTGGTTTGGGTTCAAATCGTAATTTTAACTCGTTCTCGATAGAGTTAAATCTCTTAGATAAAGTTTTTAAGTGCGTTTCAAAAGACAAAGCACGAATAATTAATTTTAAATCCAATTCGATATTTATTTGGTCATTGAAAATAATTTTAGTATGGCTACATAAAAGAGAACAAAGGGAATTAACTAGAACGTGATCTGTCAAATAAGCCAAGGATGTACACAAAATGTCCGTTTAATAAATCTAAGAGCTAAGCTGAAGGCTAATAAGGGACAGATAACACTAGTGTAGTGTTAAGCTGTTACACTCACTGTTTTTGTTTTCTTAGAGCATATACATTTTTTTTTGCAAGAAGCATTTAAACTAAATTTAATTTTAAATAATAATAAAAAAAATTTAATCCATAACTACTCAAAAAATAAGAGCGTATAGTTGAAAGTGAAGTAAAATCTTAAAGCTGGTTAAAAATATTTGTCCAGATACTTACTTTTGTTGTAACCATGGCAACACTTTTAATTTTCTTTCGTCCACTTTGTACATGACTGTACAGAAATTTATACTTCCTGAAAATTAAAAGATTTTAGTGATATACAAGACATTTACGCAATAAAAGAAGGTCTTTAGTATGCTATAAAGAACAATAATTATTCAAACATATTGGTAAACAATTATTTTAAAATGTAAAATAAAAAAGTCGCTTGATGTACACTGGAAACTCAATTCATTAGATATACATATATATATAAGTAGATTTAAAGAAATGGTTTAGGCTATATCAAACTTTGTATTTCATGTCTACACATAAAATTCTCGTACTGATTTGCTCACTACTAAAATATAAAATGTATTAGACGCAGTTAATATTTTCATCATCATCTATTCCGTGGACCCGTTGTGAATCATAGTGACTCAACTACACCTCTTCATCGTACTCAGTTTTGGGCGATTCCTCCAAGTTTGGCCCACGACATTTCGGGTGTTTCTGCTTCTACTCCAGCTATTATTTTCCAAGTTTGGTTTGCCTACCTACTTTCTTCTGTCCTTTCTGATTCCAAACTAGTGTCTGTCTGGTGATGTTGCTAGTTGGTTTACGCCAGGTGTGTCCAATCCATACCCAATTGCACCCACCTTGTGTCACCACTGCTATGACCCACCTTTTGTGTCACCACTGTCATGACCCACGTTGTGTCACCACTGTCATGACCCACCTTGTGTCACCATTGCATTGACCCACGTTGTGTTACCACTGTCATGACCCACGTTGTGTCACCACTGCTATGACCCACCTTTTGTGTCACCACTGTCATGACCCACGTTGTGTCACCACTGTCATGACCCACCTTGTGTCACCACTGCATTGACCCACGTTGTGTTACCACTGTCATGACCCACATTGTATCACCACTGTCATGAACCATCTTGTGTCACCATTGCTATGACCCACGTTGTGTCACCACTGCTATGACCCATCCTGTGACGCCATGACTCACCTTGTGACGCCATGTATGACTCCTTAGGTAAGAAGAGCTGGGACGTCGTGTTAGTTAACCAGTCGTCTGTAGGTTTTGAGAGGTTGATGATTTTAGGCGGGAAATAAATGTCTTCTGCCGTAGAATCACACTGGACAGCTGTGGGGATCAAAGGTCGAGTAATGAGACATTGTGGGGATCAAAGGTCAAGTAATAGGACACTGGACAATTGTGGGGATCAAAGGTCAAGTAATGAGACATTGTTTTGAGTAACGTAATGCGCAAGGTGGAATGAGACAGATTCTCTATCGCAGAGTAGTAATTTATACTATCAGTGGGTACAATAATCGCTGACTTAAACCTTAGAGAAAATTATCATCACCATCTGCTTCAAAGACCTCGGCTCACAAGGGGAGAGTGTAGTCATCACAGCTTTATCCCTTCATTATCTCTAGACCTACCCATACTGTTCTTGACGGTAAACAAGGAGATGTTGTTTGATCTGGGTGTAGAGATGGCGTCGATCGCCTTGAGCAACTTTTTGCCTTGGATACCGCTGGCACTGGCTTCTTCATCGCTGATTTGATCGGTGTTCGAACTGTTGTGATCGATTTCATCCCACACCTTTCCGTCCTGAGACAGCACGTAGTCAGCCACATACACCAAACTCTGGGGAAATTAGACATCTTCGATACAATCAGCTGATAGATCAGTTTAAACGAAACGTACTGTACTATTAACCACACACATTAAAGACAATTGATATTTCTATGGACGTTTCCCCGCACCGCCCAGGTCTTAATCAACAAACCAGCATCTGATTCAAGGAGAACGATCATCTTTGTAGCTGCAGTTTTATTTTGCGAAGCGCTAGACTGCTAACCCGAAAGTCTCGAGTTCAAATCCGGGTTAAAGTCAATATAAGGTCCGTGAGTCCACCCAGCTCTGATAAGTATCTAACTAACGCTTGGAAAAGTAAAGGCGGCTGGGCTTACTGACCACACTATCCCTTTATAAGCCGTGGTCACTAAAAGAGATAAACTCTACTTCGTCTGTCCCATGTGTCTAGGACACAAACGGGAAAATGTGATGATAATTCTCAGCGAGTAGCCTACAAGCAGAACCTCGAGATCTTGTTCTAATGATATCTCAACAAACCTCTAGGGATTGTGAGTCGAGTTGATGATTGTCTGTGTCCAACGAGTCGCCTATCTTGCCGAGAATATCTGTGATGGCTATAAGGTCGCCAGATACTGTTGGAGCCGGTTCTAAGGTTGCTTTTACCAAGGTTGATAGACTGTTGATTGTTTCTGAGGAGAGAAAGTGAGTACACGGTTAAACAGTGGCGTCTGCAGGTGAGTTGATAACCAGCAGTAGGTGATATTAGCAGTAAGGTGGTATTCGGAGGTAGGTGATATTAGCAGTAAGGTGGTATTCGGAGGTAGGTGATATTAGCAGTAAGTCTGAAGTAGGTTGATACTAGCAGTAGGATGATAGCTAGGGAGATGATTCTTTAATAAGAGAACAAACGCTAAAAACAGTTCTGAATATGAACCTTATTATTCCAAGCAGCCAGTGTGATTGCTGTGATTGTACCGTCCTACATGTCTGATAACTAATTAAGCGGACCCGTGCTGCTGTAGTAATTAGCTGACTGGCTACTATAAAGTTTATCCTAATTTAAGTTTATAATTCTCTCGAGTAAACAACACACATACCTTTCATTGCAGTATCGTTAATCTTGCTTATGTTTGTTAAATAATTGCACTGAAATGTAAAGGTAGATTATTTACTTTACATTATATTAGATTGTCATACAGAATCTGAATCATATATTTGCTAGCTGAGTGTTGGTGTCTTATTCTTATATTGATTTATTTATTTTACTTTCTATTTATAATAACTATGTCTCGATATACCCCTAGTCAAAAACGCTCTATCGATTATCATGAAGTGAGGGGGGGGGGGGTTAATCGACATGTTAGCGGGTAATGGACAGGGTAATAGATAAATGATCTTAGAGGTAATGTCGGGAGGGGTGGAATCACCGAGAGAAAGAGACAGGGGGTAATGTGATGCTTCTCTCTTAACTGTACTAATTTTATAAAATCTTCTAGCCTTAGTGATAATATGCTAAAAACCACACTAATTAATAAATTAGGCTACATTTAAGCATTGTTCAACAAACGTTACAAACAAATTGCCTACGATATATTGACCGTGTACTATACACAGCAATCCTAACTGTTGTCTGTACAAGAAAAAAAATTCAACCTACAACATCCACCAAGCCATTCTGTGTACAGTTACTTTTGTTTATCTGGCACCAAATACTTCCTGTACAACACCTGGCCACAACAGTACCTGTACATAGTTGCAGCAGAATTTAAAGGAAGTTTAAAGACGTAAACAGATATTGGCTACGACGTAGATAATACTACTGAATAATACAACCATTGAAGCCAAAAATAAATCTTGCATTTGGTTTCCTGTTAAATGTTTTCATTTTTATACATTTGAAGATGATATTGAAGTCAATGTCCGTCCCCCCCCCCCCCCACACTTCCAACTGCTAAGGCTGCAGATTGGCATCAGAAAACAAAACAGCCATATGTAGAGCTGTACATTCATAACTGCTACATTAGTAAGTTTTGAATTGCGTCGAATCCTTTACAAAGTCTTGTTTGGAAATAAACTATAAGAGTAGAACAAGACGTTCCATGAATTTTCATCAATTGATTAAGTGAAGACTATCAAGTCACATGAACATACAATCCGTTCACGTGATAGTCTAGCCACTACTAGTTCACGTGAAAGTCTAGCCAATACCAATAAGTTCACGTGAAAGTTTAGCCAATACCAATAAGTTCACGTGAAAGCCTAGCCAATACCAATACGTTCACGTGAAAGTCTAGCCAATACCAATACGTTCACCCGAAAGTCTAGCCACTACCAATACGTTCACGTGACAGTGTAGCCACTACCCACCTGTATAGTCAGTTGGGCAAGAGGTTTCTACTACATGGCCGATGGTAGCCGACGGTAACACGACACCTTGTTCTTGTAGAGGCGGGCAGCTCTGCTCTGTGATACAACACGTACTTCGTTTATATAGTGAAAACACTACAGAATGCATGGTCATCGCTTAAAATTGATTTCATCTGAAATAATTGTTATATAACTCTATATTCGTAGAACTCAGCTTAAAAATAAACACGACAAGGGAACTAACCGAATGTTAGGTTATAGAACCCTGCCGAGGTTATCTGCCCAGCGTAGTTTCTAGCAGCGCAATAGTAGACTCCAGAGTCAGCTGTTGCCAGTCCACTGAAGACGAACACGGAGGAATTTGATGTCCGAAGTTCCACGTTGTTGCGTAACAGAACGTAATCGATGACTCCTGTGCTATTGGTCACACAAGTCAAGGTCAGGTCAGATCCTGGTTTTAACGTGTAGGAGCCTGTAGGTTGGAGACTGGGTCTACGTGGCAACACTGGAATTCAGCACGCATTTTAAAGTCTCATTATCTACTCTTTATTTATTCAAAATTTATTCATAATTTATGAATTCGACACCACCAATGCTGCGACTGAAAATATTTGCTTTAAAACACTGTCAATAGCTCGTGAAAGACTTCCCCCCCCCCCCATCTTTTCTTGTGAAAGCAGCCGTCCGTGGCGACAGTTTACAGAAAACAGCAACTTGATTAAGTAGATCAGGTATACCTGCCTTTAGTTTCAAATCGTGTTAAACATTATATTATCGGCCCCTAATAGCCGTCAGTCCACCCAGCTCTACGATTGCAAAAATTTGACGTGAACCACAGCTCAGCAATGATAGGGTGATCACGCCTAGTTAGTTATCTCCCGTTCTGTTATGGAATATGGGAATCTATCGAGTGATCGTTAGCTTTTAATTTTGTTATCTTCCGTTAGTTTTGAAACAGTTTAATTAATTTCTAATGATTAATTAAAAATATAATTAAATTAAAAAATAGATAGACTTATATAGTCATCGGAGCTGAACGTATCTGGAAAGTTTGAAAGAAATCGCTGCATTTGAAGTGGGTCGAAATTGAGAAACAAGATTTGCCATAAATTCTCAGACGTTGCAAGCTAAATAAAACATTTTTAAAAAGCTTAATTCGTTATTTTTTCATCGGAAAAATAATTAGAAAAATTGGTATATCGTTCTTACATAAGTCAATTTGGATGATAATTTGGCTCCATAATCTAACAGACCATTGGACGATTGCACATTGGAAATCCAAGCACAAAACCATGACAGTAAGATATGAAGGAACACATGTTACCCATGCATCAGACCCTCCCCCCTTTCTCTACACAGCGGATTAACTCAAGGAACCCAAACGTCCCTAAAATTTAAATTAGCTATAACAGCGATAATCTTTCGGCTTTCTGGAATTCTGAATGACTTTACCTGCAAAGGTCATTGACCCAAACATAAATGTCCTTACTCATAAAAAAATAAATCTAAGCATAAAGCACCCACACACATTTGAGTGTGTAGTTCACACTGGGATCCGACCGTGTGACGTTATCATAAACAACACATGTAAAGTTGCCGTCATTCACCCCTGGCTTGGCGTCTTGTATGTACAACGTCCTCTCTGTCTGATTGGCTAGTTCACGGCCGTGTAGAGTCCAGGTGTAGTTGGTACTGCTGACCGAGGCTACGCAGGTGAGCACTGTATCGTCCCCCTCGCTAGGGTACACTGGGCTGGATTGTATGACAGGTGTGGCGGGGGCTTCTGGGGAAAAGAGGTGACGTTTGTGGCGTTTTACGTGGAACAAAATAAATAGAATTTGTTACAGGAATAACGTTTTGTGTGAATTATTTAGCACCTTGAGAAATAGAAATACAACATTCGCTAGGGAAACAATCCGTACTTTCCTAATCAATAAAGACATTATTATTTGTTGGATGTTATCAGAGATTACTTTAAAATAATTTTCTAGTTTATCAAATACAATTACTGAAATTGACTAAACATTAAGTTAAAATAAATCAAAACAATTTAACTGTATGTGAGAGCAATCTCTTACCCCAAACCTTGACCTCAAAAGGTGGCGAGGGAGCAGACAGATCATCAATACCGCACCTGTAGAACCCAGCGTCATTGAACGTGACCACGGGGAATCTGTAGACATTGCTGGTGGAGTTTTGTATCAGCACCGGCCCGTGGAAGAAGTAGAAGGTAAAGTTGCCGTTGGGGGTACACGTCAACGTTGCATTGCGCCCCAGTATAAAGTACTTAAAGGATATTGGCGTCTCAGGTCTAAGCACTGTAAAAATTAATACTTATTTTTCTTTAAAATAATTTCAACTGTTAAAATGTTCTAAATTGAAAAATAAAATTAATTAAGGTTGTAGATTTTTTCTAAAAGTGATAACTTTACTTTTATAATTGTATTATGTTCTAAGCGCAACTCGAATGATATTGTACCTGTAATTATAGTAAGATGGTATACCATATCTGTAATTATACCATACCTGTAATAGAAAGAGCAGGACTCTCCTCGTACGTGAGATCAGAATGGACAGTCCTACAGCTGTAGTTGCCGTCATCTCTCCATGCCATTCTGGCGTAAGCTATGACGTAGCTTGGTGATGATGACGTGATCAAGATGGCGCCATTCAAGAACCAGGCGTAGCTGGTGACGTTCTGGTCTTGCGTTACACAGGTCAGGTTGAGCATGTCACCCTCGCGAGGTGTGCTGTTGTTGGCTGATATCGTCGGGGGTGCTAGTGTGTTAGAGAACATGATGTGTGCAGGATACAATGTTCAAGTTATTTGCTCGTGTTTTTTTGTGTTTGGTGAAAATAAGGCAGTAGCGTAAGAATTTGAATGAGGTGTCGGGTAGTGGTTGAAGTTGGCTAGGAGAGCTGCGTAATATTTTAATGGTACTAGTGACCATTATGTCACACGTGATCTGAGTATCGATTGACCCCGTTGGCACGAGTTTGGAGTCTCGAGTTAGAGTCAGTCTGATGCCCCTAAATAGACCCTTCGCTACCACCGGATCCTGACTCAAGTTGGGAGAAAACAAGGACATCTTGACATATTGCTGCCCACATAATCACGTTATACGCTGAGGTAACGATTTACATGTACATCAACTCTACTTCAACTACAGCATGGCCTAATTTAAAATCTACAGTATAGTGTGAGCCGTTTAAGCCTGCGTAATGTGAAGAAAAATCTTGTATCTATTAGTTACTTAAAGTACGTTTTAACGTGATTCTATTGAAGCTATTGTCCCCTATACCCCCCCCCCCCCTCGTCTTACATGACTTCTCTGTAAGAGATTTACAAGACGACCTTACCGGCACAAGCCACACACAGCAAAAAGCACACCGTCAGGAGGAACTTCACTAGATCTGGGCAGTCCCTGTAATTTTTTGTCTAATTATAATCATATCAAACAGGATGTCAATCAATATTAGTTTTAAATTTCAATTACTCAAAATTTGACAGAAGGCAGGGATTTAGAACTTTTACTTAAATCTGAAATTTCGTTATCTATCTGTAACAGCACTAAAGTTATAGGGTTTTTTGAAAAACCAAAAGTAGAATAAGGTAAACTTCCGGCTATCGGAAATCGCTGAAATGTTGATACAGAACTAAAAATTTGATATAATACTTATATATGAAATTTCATCAACCTAGCTGTAACGGTACGCAAGTTTTCGTGTTCACAGACATACACAGACATACTAACACACACATGGACAGAATTGCAATACCCAGTGTTTCCGACTTGATTATGCGTGAAACGCCGAAATTCTGACAAATATGGATTTAGAATTTCTGCCCGATTAAAATTGATTTAGAATTTCTGTCCGATTAAAATAAGTCCCCTATACTCCACACATGATGAAGTAGTGAGATGTAAAATGGTGAAAACTGTCAAAATTTCAAGTGATTTTTGTCCACGATTACAATACTTCCTCTATACTCTGGTTACGAGTAAGGGGGGGGGGGGCTTAAAGGGCTGCAGTCATGGGCCCCCGATGTTTAGGGGTCCCAAAATTTACTGGTTAATTGTTGGTTTTCACTAAGAAAAAGTTTTAATGTTTGCATCACAAGCTTCAATCATTGAAAAAAAAAAATCTAACACGTGCTCACACTTAAATATAAATACCAACTGCCATAACCTCCTATCCAGACATTGTTTACATAAAGCCGACGCTGCCTAATATAACATAATCCGGACCAGCGATCGTTTATGACAATAAAATGAGTAGTTTTTAGCGTTAAAAACATAAACAGCAGCCGAATGGTGACAAATGATTGACCCATCTTTTTCAAAAAGACAACAATGAGTTGTTCTCCATGAATGAACTTCAAAACTCCCCGCCCCTCATCAGCTGTCGTCGCTTTCTACTTGGAAACTGTTAACATAAAGCAAAGCTACCTAAAATTTTATACATTTTATTTCTGGCACAGTTTAGTTGATCAAATAGTTTCAGGAAATAAAACACTGAATCTTAAAAAAAAACAGGCTAGAAAAACATGTTTTACTTCAACATGTGAGTGTATGAGTGATCCGTCTAGTAGCTTACATAGGCGCTTTAACCCAAACGTTTTTAAAGGGCAGAAAGTAACCAGTTATGAATATTAGTTACTTGAAATGAGAAGTGGATAATTAGTATTATTGCTTTATTTGGCGAATTTATGAGAGTTAAAACCGAAATTAGATGGCGGGTGGGAGCTACAAAGGATATGGCAAGGTCATCTCAAAATTTTTGCTGTAAGGCCATAGCTCATTTACAGTGGCGGATTTTGGAGTTGAACAGGAGACCCCCCTAATTCGTTGCCCCCAAAATTTTCTCTTTTCTACGAGAGTAAAAATAATTTTCCTATCGATTTTTATTTGTTTTGTAGTCTAAATGAACGCTGAATTTCCAAAACATGAGCCTTTTTCCCCCCTAAATTTGCAAATACGAAAGTATGAGATCTTTTTCTCCCATGAAGTTATACGTTTGTCTCGTAGTCGGACAACGCCCACGCTTAACAGTTTTAAATGTAGCTGTAATCGCTTCGTGTCAAATAATTTTTATTTAATGTGAGCTCTCCCTAAAAAAATAAATGGGATTCTGATTGATCTTGCTTCGTTTACAAAATACGACCAGTAATATATATCAGGCTAGCTTACTTTATCAGACCTGCAAATGTATAGTGGACTGATCACACATACTAAATTAATATAAAATGTCATAACTATTATTAAAATCATTGTGTATATTCCATTGGATCTAGACAAGCAGCGCTATAATTTAAACTTGTTTAAAACAGTAGGCCTATTTTTAAAAGGTATGGATAGATGTTTTCAAATTTAGTTATCTGAATCAAATCTTCGTATATTTACGATTTTTATAAGATAATTTATAATCATGCACGATTAAAAGTACTGTAGTTGTAATATCAGGATTGTAATACATTTATCCTGATTCATACTCCTCAAGTAATTTAAGTTGTAATTGAATACTGTTCTCATGAATGCTTCGCAATTTAAGCCTAGTAATACTAATATTTTTATTTTCATTAAAAAGCAATTTTAAACACACTCCTACCTAAACACGTTAGACAGAACCGTTACAAGACTAATTGAGCTTTTGTAAGTCAACGTGAAATGGTGCAAGTATTAAAATATCCTATAAATATTCATGATTGTTTCACGTAGGGTGGCTTGAGATATTCTTCGTTTTCTTTTATATTATGTAGAACGAGAAAAATGGCCCGTTGAGGAAGGGTACAACGGGCGCTAGGCTGATAGTGCTGTCTCTTTTCTCTAAACTAAAACCAACCCACCCCCCCCACACACCACCCCCACCCCACCCCCCCACCCCCACACACCACCCCCACCCCCACCCCCCACCACCCCCAACCCAACCCCTCAACCCCACACACCACCCCCACCCCCCACCACACACCACCCCCACCCCCACCCCTCACCCACACACACCACCCCCTCCACACACCGCCCCCCACCCCCCACCCCCCCCCCCCAAAAAAAACATGTCTACCGTCCCATTCAACGAAATATAATTATATACTTTTTCCAGTGTCCGCCCCCTCCCAGAAAATTCTACCCCCGCCCCCGAAAATTTCAAGTACCCCCACCCCTCTCCGGGGAGGAAAAAGTCTGAAAGAAGCACTGAAACCAACCCACCCCCCCACACACCACCCCCCACCCCCCCACCCCCCCCCCCCACACACACCACCCCCACACCCCCCCACACCCCCCCCCCCCCACACCCACCCCTCCACCCCACCCCCCCCCCCCCCACCCCAAAAAAAAACATGTCTACCGTCCCATTGCAAGAAAACCACTTTTTAGATTAGACACATTAATTAGGCGGTAATTTTATTATAGAGTATCGATGAGGAAATTTCTTTTGAGTTGTGGAGGGGGGGGGGGGGGGGGCTCAGACGTTCTTACGCGGGGGGTGGGGCTTCGCCCCTACCCGAAGAATTGTATGCAAGAAACTCTTCACGCAAACCATTTAGATTAGACAACATTTCCTTTTTTTCAATGTTTACGCAATAATCAATGACGTCATTTTACTGTGTGCACTTTCCGCCTTGAGATTATGTTCTACTCTACGCTAAATGTGTCGACGTCATATTTCGTTTTTCGAATTACTGTGCATGTTTTTATTTTGCTTGTGTTTTCTCTAGAGCGTTCTTGTCAGACAAAGCGTTCTTGTCAGATAGACAGACAGACAGCGAAACTATTAGTATTAACGAGAAAAGTGGCCCGTTGAGGAAGGATACACCGGGCGCTAGGTTGATAGTGCTGTCTCTTTTCTCTAAACTAAAACCAACCCACCCCCCCCACACACACCACCCCCACCCCCACCCCTCCCACCCCCACCCACCCCACACAGACGTTCTTACGCGTGGGGTGGGGTTTCGCCCCTACCCGAAGAATTGTATGCAAGAAACTCTTCACGCAAACCATTTAGATTAGACAACATTTCCTTTTTATTCAATGTTTACGCGATAATCAATGACGTCATTATATTACTGTGTGCACTCTCTGGTTTGAGATTATGTTCTACTCTATGCTAAATGTGACCGCGTCATACTTCGTCTTTCGTTTCACTGTGAGAGTTTTTAATTTCCTTGTGTTTTCTCTAGAGCGTTCTTGTCAGACAGATAGATAGATAGATAGATACATAGAGAGACAGCGAAACTATTATATAGAACTAGATAAATGGCCCGTTGAGGAAGGGTACAACGGGCGCTAGGCTGATAGTGCTGTCTCTTTTCTCTAAACTAAAACCAACCCACCCCCCCACACACCACCCCCACCCCACCACCCCACCCCCACACCCCCACCCCCACAAACCACCCCCACCCCCCACCACACACCAACCCCACCCCAACCCCTCACCCCCACACACCACCCCCACCCCCCCCCAAAAAAAAACATGTCTACCGTCCCATTCAACGAAATATAATTATATACTTTTTCCAGTGTCCGCCCCCTCCCAGAAAATTCTACCCCCGCCCCCGAAAATTTCAAGTACCCCCACCCCTCTCCGGGGAGGAAAAAGTCTGAAAGAAACACTGAAACCAACCCACCCCCCACACACCACCCCCCACCCCCCCCCCACACCACCCCCCCACACACACACACCACCCCCCACCCCACCCCTCCACCACCCCCCACCCCCAAAAAAAACATGTCTACCGTCCCATTCAACGAAATATAATTATATACTTTTTCCAGTGTCCGCCCCCTCCCAGAAAATTCTACCCCCGCCCCCGAAAATTTCAAGTACCCCCACCCCTCTCCGGGGAGGAAAAAGTCTGAAAGAAACACTGAAACCAACCCACCCCCCCACACACCACCCCCACCCCCCCCCACCCCCACACACCACCCCCCCCCCCCCCACACCACCCCCCCCCCCCCCCACACACACCCCCCACACCCCCCCCACCCCCCCAAAAAAAACATGTCTACCGTCCCATTGCAAGAAAACCACTTTTTAGATTAGACACATTAATTAGGCGGTAATTTTATTATAGAGTATCGATGAGGAAATTTCTTTTGAGTTGGGGAGGGGGGGGGGGGCTCAGACGTTCTTACGCGGGGGGTGGGGCTTCGCCCCTACCCGAAGAATTGTATGCAAGAAACTCTTCACGCAAACCATTTAGATTAGACAACATTTCCTTTTTAATTCAATGTTTACGCGATAATCAATGACGTCATATGACTGTGTGCACTCTCTGGTTTGAGATTATGTTCTACTCTGCGCTAAATGTGTCGACGTCATACTTCGTTTTTCGAAATACTATGCATGTTTTTAAATTGCTTGTGTTTTCTCTAGAGCGTTCTTGTCAGACAGAGCGTTCTTGTCAGATAGACAGACAGACAGC